AAATAATAATAATTTTATTAACTTTTTACGTGGAATCATTTATTATATATTACGTTTTTCTTCCTGGACTTCATTTCATTTTATTTAGAGATATACCATAAATTATTTTATAGTGTAAATAATAATATTTCAATTGTGATAATTTATTTGCTCTTATTAGGAATACTTTGAGTATTTTGATTTGAAATTGAAATATTTGGAATTTTTTTTACTGCAAGTAATAATATTTTATAATTAATATATAATAACTTTGTTTACTTGTTTTATAAAATTTTATTAAGTGATTATTATGCTATTAAGATTATGATTTTTTGAGAATTAAATTTAAATTAATCAAAATTGTAAATATATCATATTATTTTATTTATGCTGCATCCAAAATGTTTTGAAAAAATCTTAAAATTTTCACAAATTAATAACAAAGCACTTTGGACACCTTTAAGCTTTAAAAAAATTAAAATATTCAAAATGCTTGATATGATTATAAATATTTAATTGTATTTATTATTTTATATTACCTTTCAGTTATTAAGAACCTATTATTTGATAATAGTTATATTTAGATTTTTTATATACTTAATTAATATATACTATGTTGTAAATAATTATATCAATATTTTATAAACAGTTGTCAAAACCAATAATCCTATTTTGAAAGATAATCTTTCCATAAAATATATATATAAAAATGACTCTATTTTAGGTAAGCGTAGAACGAGGATTTTCTTCGTTAAAATATATATTGCCCAATTTAAGAGGTAATCTGAAGGAAGATATTTTAGAAGATATCATGATTGTTCGATTGTATAAAATATTTAAAATATAAATTATTTCATTTTGAATTATGAATGTGTATATATTGAAGTATAATAAAAATAAAAAAATGAATGAAAAAAAAGTCTTATTTTGAGTCATTATTTTTATGTTCCCTGAACCCGGACCCGAACCCTGGACCCGGGTCCTTTTTAAATTTATTACAGGACCCGAACCCAGACCCGGACCCTTTTTTTTTGTCGAAGGGTTCACATCCCTGAATGAAAGCATTTATTTTTGAAAATTTTATCACAGGTTATCGTTTGTATAACATTTTAATCCGAATGGGAAACAGTAAAAAGAAAGAAAATATTTTAGTAAATAAGAAAAGTTTAGTGCCTAATTATTAATTCTCATTCAATTTCGTCAGCCACTTAGCAGAATTACGAGACAAATATCTGTGAATTTTGCCCTAAGCATGAAATCAGCCAAAAGCATTAAGTCCGTAACTTATATTAATAAATTAGTATGTATATTTACAATTAAAAACAGAAAAGGTCAAACGCCAAACCCTTACGAATCATAGCCTCTATGGTAAGCGTTCTATTTTTGAATTTTTTTGAAATATTTTAATTTATAACAAATGTGTTTAAAATGTTGTTTATTTTAGATTTTTATCAGGCACTCTATTAAATAGAAAAGGAAATATTTTGAGATTATTTTATAGAATTAGGAAATTAAGAAGGGGAGTAGGTTTAATCAATTTTAAAAAAATGAAAGCAAATTCCAATCTAGACATCAAAAATTTTACCTAATTACATTTTCTTCGGGGAATTATTTACACCACTGTTTACGAAATAAAATAATAAATATCAACATATTTTGACATTTTTTTTTTACTTGCACTATTTAAAATTTTCTGGTGCTCTTGAGGAAACTATCCTATCCAGCTAAAAATTTAGATATTTCCCTTTTTCAAAAGTAGATCAAATATAAATTTAACCTTCCCCTTCTTTACAAAAAAAAAATTATTTAAAACATTTTTTTTTGAAGAATTATATGCCCATTTATTACATGAAAATTTGATCTTTAAAAAATAATTTATATAAATTATTTTAATTTTTTAAAAAAGGCTTGAAACTGGTAACCCTCAAATCTATTTACTTGTTTTTAACAAATCTCAAGTAAGGTAATTTTTTCCGAATTTATCAATTAGTAGATTGATTTTTACAAAAATAATGTGTTTTCGTTTATTAACCATCTTAGATTTTTCTATCATATATGAAATAATAAATAGAGATGGTCAAATCAGATTTTCAAGAGATTTCTATGTAAAGTCAAAACTATAGAGCCACCTATCTTTGTTTTTTTAAAAAGATATCAAATTATATTTTTTTTGGATATTCTGAATTAGCTAAAAAAATACTATTTATACCTGGAGATTTTGTTATTTTAAGGAAACCTGATGATAACGTTTTGAATGTTTTGGCCAAACATTTTTGATATTTATTAACGTAGCCTAAAAGGTTGTCGAAATGGTAGAATTATGTCTACAAGAACATATGAGCATTTAATAAATATAATTTTTTTAAATCATTATAAGTAGTTGAGTAAATTTTTCGATTTAAAAAAAAAAACTGTTAAGATCAAGAGTTTTGCAAAAATATATTAACTATGCTTCATGATTTCGCCAAGAGTTAGTTTAACCATCTTCTGGAGACATCTCGAGACTTGGATAATTTTTATGTAAAATTTCGATTTGTTTAAATTGACTAAATCGAGACTTTATTAACACCAAATTTCTTAGAAATTTTGAATTATAGTCGTTATTTTAAAAAATTATTAACTTAAATTTTACTTATTTTTCTATAAAATTATTTCTTATAATATATTATGTTTGATAATTACTAGGAGAGGCAAATTTTCAAATGAGAAGGAAATTTTCCACTTAGGTTCCCCTGCGAATTCAACAATAAATAATTTTTAGTTTTACAATAAATAGTAATTGATATTATAATAAATATAAAAAGATTCTATTATTTATCAATTGAGAAATTAGTTTTTATATTAGATTTTTTATTTGCAATAGGGCGTGGTTAGAGATTTATATGATTATATGCTGATTGTTGAATATAATCTAAAAAAAATTAATATTCATTTAAAATATTTATACAAAATTAAAATGAAACTTTGTTTTTTGGAGGAAAAGGGAATAGGTAATAATGGCAGGGCTATTCAAAATTTAGAAGCATGACGTCATTGATTTGCTAACAAGGAATCGTATTATTCATTTAAAAAAAAACAATGAAAAAAAAGCCTTAGGCTGCATTCAAAGTGGAGACTTATCCGTTTTTACATCCATTCCGTCAAAAATCAATCTCATTAAAAATTATATATATATTGATTTACATTTTTAAAAATTAAAAGTAACGTTATAACGCTCTATAAAATTTGCCAGATCAAAAAGTCAAAATGTTTTGACTTCAAAATTTGCTGGATCCGTTTTTAAGACGGAAGGTAACGGAACGGACGCACTTTGAACATATATATATCATTTTTAATGAGATTGACTTTTGACGGAACGGATGTAAAAAATGGATCCGTCTCCACTTTGAATGCAGCCTTAAAAAAATTATATGTTGAAATAGGAATAGTAAATTATTTGTATATAAACGCATATAAGTTTCAAAAAAATTTTATAGAATATTAATTATTTAAATTTGTAGATCGATTAAAATTGTTAAATTAATATATATTATTATAGATAGTAAATAAATTAACAATATTATTATATATTTTGATAATTGATTCGTATAAAATATTTATTAATCCCCCCTATTTTCGCATAGAATAGCTATAATAGGTAAAAAAATAATAATAGATATTTATTTAGCTACTTTTAAAAAGATTGTGATTAAATATTTAAGAATGATGAATATTATAAACTATTCTATATTTAAATTAAATATTTATTTCTTTCATTTATTTTAAATTTTAAAAAATAACATCTCATTAGTTGATCATAAATTTATAGATTTATAAGATATTTTATTCAGGAAAAATAAAGAGGGGATCTTAATAATAGATATTGTAGAATGGGCTCTGGAAATAAATTTGATATAAAATTATTCAGGAGTATTTACGTTTATTTTTAAAGAAAATGAAATTAGTATTAAGATGTTAGAATTTTCCAACCGACAAATAGTTATATTTCTAAAACTAGAGATGAAGAAAATAATTAAAGATAAGCTGATTTTTAGATTAGGAACTACATATTTCATTTTCTTTATACTCGGCATTTAAAAAAAATCGCCTAATAAAACGAGAATATCTCGTGTTCTCGAATTTTTTAATTATATTTTCGATGAGAATGATAAAAATTACTGATTATATAACAAATTTTTTGAGAACATTTATTTCAGATCTCACATAAGACCGTTCCTTATAAAATATAATACCCCCATCTCATTCATTTCTCCTGTAGATTGATTATTTAGTCTAGCAAAAGTTTTTCTTTGTTAAAAGGGAACTTTTCTAGATGGAAACTTTGAGAGATATCTTCCCTTAAAATAAAATACAAAATAATAACTAAAATTATATATATAACTAATATTTTATTATGTGATATTATTATTATATTTCAAATTTAAATAAAAGTTTTATTTAGGATTGTAAAAAATATATATAATTGGGGTACAATATATTATTTATTCGGTCCTTACTTATGAGATAAAATTTTTGAAAGCAGTCTAAGAGTCCCTCTGGAAAATTTAATTATAAAACAAATACATCTTAATATTTTAGCCGGCATCTTAATTTTTCGTCCTTGGGTAGGGGGGGGGGGTATGAGTAGCCTAGCCTGACTTATACTGTATTTAGATTATGAAGATTTTTTATATATTATGATTATAATACACAATAATCTTTTTTTAAATTATAATACTTAAAACTCTATAACGTTGAACATTAAAACACTCTGAAAATAAAACATAAAAATAAAATATAAATATAATTTCATCATTTTTGTCCAATGATATAGTTATATATATCATTGTTTTCGTCAAATTTTTATGCCAGGATTTTTATTTATAGGTTGATGGTAAAAATACCCTTTGTATTTATTGAAATTTAGATTTTAAGTTTTTCTCTGTGTGGCACTATAAAATATGAAGTTTAGTCAATTTTACTTAAATTAAACGCTTATTTTAGTTTATGACTAACATTATAAATTTGATATATTACAGTTATCCATTTTCTAATGTTAGATTTTGAAATTATACCAGAGTTTGCATTGGGAAATGCTGATTGTAAATTTCTACTCGGTAATATTTATTTATAGTTTATGATTAATCAAATTTTCTCCTAGGCATGTTATTTAATCAGGCTGTCTATTTTATACAAGATAATTGTTTGAATATCAAAGCGGTTCAAATATTATACAGTGATTTAGTATGATTATTTTAATTTTTATTATTAAAGTTAACTTAAGGCACCATTATCTATGGATTTAGTTGTAAATATGTCTGAAGATGGAGTTAGATTAATATTTGATTCATACACACAGAGGCTTAAGCTAATTGAGATTTACAATTTGCAAAAAATTAAATTAAAATACAGGTATCATTAATGTGATATATATTTTTTTAATATTATTTTTAGTGGAAAATATTTTTGCACAACTGAAATAAAACCTACTCTTGAAAAGATTGATAATGTATTTGGCCCAACATTACCCGGGAGTATATTAAAAACATCCTATAATCATATTCTTATTCTATATTAGTTTATGATCCAAATCAACAATTGTTTGTTTTGAATTTCAGAGGTCTTTCATTTTCCTTCCCAATTGAATCTCATTTTCAAGTATTTTTTATTTTTTTAAAAATATCTTAATAATTTATTTAGCCAAATTATTCAAATGGTATGGGCTCCTTACAATTTTTAGAGGGACAGACACCTATTGTATCTAAAATTTGCATTTATTCAGGAGATGACTTTGATAATATGAAGTAACTTGAGTATATATTTAAAACTTAATATAAAATTTAAAAAATATATAATGGTTTATCTATATTAGTTTATTTAAAAATATATTTTATACAATGTAGTACTAGATTAAATGTAAATTAATATTTAGTCTATGATTTTATAATTAGTCTTTTTTAAACATATGGTATCAATTTTCTCTTAGACAAGAGGAGGATGTTATGTTTTTGAGAAAAAGTTATAAATAAAATACCCTTTAAATTAGCCTATCAAATGTTTCAATATAATTATTTTCTTACAAAACTCATATCAATGAGGTGCCCTCCAATTTCACCTATATCTTTTGAAGGCGGTTCATATTTAGAGAAAATAGATGTCTTAATCAAACAAGATAATAACACTGCCTATGGTCTCAAAATTGTGTATTCTACTGAAGGTATAAATTGTATTTATGAATATATGATTTTATAATAAGATTGACATATAATTTGTTTACATAATAAAAATGAAAACATTAATTGATATTATTTCAATCAATAATAAATATCGATTAAATTCTATATCATCTAAAGATATATCTTGACCCCTAATCACTATAGAATATTTTTAAAAATTTTGTATGATGATATATTATATTATATTTTATGATTTGGTAAATATGTGTGTATCTCTTTCTTTTGAAAGAAAGATAGGCAGTAATATTTTTAGTGTATAACCACTTTGGAATATTAACAAAACTTTAAAATGAATTTTCAAATGAATGAAATCAGCTTATGTTTAGGATTGGCACAATTTCTTCCTACATTTTTAATTGGCTGATTCCAAAATCTCCTTAGAAATACTTTTGTTTTATTATAGCTACCAATATGGTGCCAATTCTGAGATATGCATATTTATAACTATCCTGGTCACGGCACCACTAAAAAAAAATGAAATAACCAAAACCAAAAAGAAACCAAACAAACTATACGAAATTACAAAACAATCAGAAACCGGGAAATAAATATAATTGGCAAATTAGAGATCAACTTAATCAATGCTCTAATATATAATTAATTACACACACTAAAATTACACGAATGATTTTCTTTATTAATACTTTCCACACAAAATAAAATCTTCAAAATATCATATCTATAAAATTAATTCAAACTACGTTTTCGTAATTTTCATATTCAAAAATTAATTAATGAATAATATAAAAAAATATATATCCTTTTCCTATGTTATATAACTAAATATAAAAAAACATCACGTGATTATAATTAACGTGTTATAATATAAGATATATATTTATAAACTATGATTATATCTAATTATCCTGAAGATAGGACATGCCTACCCTTTATGGGCCCGGCACACCTATATATATATCAACAAAACAAAAATGTATTCAAAATATATTTCTTTAAAAAAAAATTTAATACATATTACATAAACAAAAAAAAATACGAGGGAAAGTTCATTGACTTACTTCAGTCTTCCCGAATATATCCCTATGCTGACATGACACTTCCCCAAAAATCATCTGTGCCAGATCTGGGCTCTCCAAATGCTGACTCCACTGACGGTTGTACCTGCGTGGCCAACGCAGCCACTGCTCGATGCAATATATCGTCCCCAACTGAATTGCCAGATCCCCTTGAGAAAGGTATCGACACGTTACCGTCTTGATCATTCTGCGGAAGTCTACTCGTGCTGGCTATGAGTCCGTGAGGAACCGAAGTCGCCACGGGTCCTAACTCGCGATACGCTCGTCTTTTCCCGTCGTTTGGTCCCCGCCATGTATTGTCGGAAACGGTCTCCAAAGGTACCCGGGTTCCCCTTAGGGGTCTGGAACATTGGTGACGTAGATGCCCCTAGCCCTGACAATTGTAACATCTTTTTCGGCGAACTCCTGGGTCAGGGAGTTGGTTTTCATCAGTGGATCTTGAGCCTAAGATCATGCCATTGTTCTTTTTGATTAACGTGACCTGGAGATAAAAGTCCCCAAGGTCGACTAACCTAGAGGTAGTCTCCATTACGCCGATTTGTGAAAATATTTATGGATATACCGTTATATAATGCTCCAATGCTATACGCTGAAACTATGAGGAGATTCTTGTTCAGGGATATATAAAAGAAAAGAGATTGGTATTGTGGTAGTGTGTAAAAAGGAAAAGAGATAGAAAAGTTGTAATTAAAGAGATAGAAAAGTTGTAATTCATTTCGTGATTATAGTGTAATTATTGTTAAAGGGAAAAGAGATCGAAAAGTTGTAATTCGTTTAGTGAATACATTTTTGTTCATAGCCTTATAGGATAAATCACGGCTGTTGAACATTAGTATTTACAGGGAAGATATTTGTAAAAAAAGAGAAATTATGCGGCGTGTTTGAGTTATTTGGTAATGGGAAGATATTTGTAAAAAAAAAGTAATTAATTAAAAGGTTTTTTTTGTTTGAGTTATTTTTTTTCTTCCCCCCTTTTTCTCTTGTTTATAATGTAATGGCCCGTGTATGTTTGGAATACCGTAAAAGGGAATATGAAAAGTTTGAAAATGTGTTTATGTTTCGTAACGCAATCATTGATTGTTGTTTTATTGGTAAATTAGTCTGTGTTGTAAAAGTTGTAAATACTTAATCGGTAATTTTTTTTTTGCATTAATTAATTTATTTGTTTGTAAATTCATTTTTTTTTAAAAGAAAAACATTACCATTATTCATTTAATTTTTGTGTGAAAGTTTTGTTTTAAAAAAAAACATTAGCATTCATTTAATTTTTTTTTGTGTGAAAGTTTTGTTTTAAAAAAATTATTACCAACATTTTTTCCAAAACCTAGAATAAAAAGGGCAATATATATCCCTGAACAAGAATCTCCTCATAGTTTCAGCGTATAGCATTGGAGCATTATATAACGGTATATCCATAAATATTTTCACAAATCGGCGTAATGGAGACTACCTCTAGGTTAGTCGACCTTGGGGACTTTTATCTCCAGGTCACGTTAATCAAAAAGAACAATGGCATGATCTTGGGCTCAAGATCCACTGATGAAAACCAACCCCCTGACCCAGGAGTTCGCCGAAAAAGATGTTACAATTGTCAGACGTCACCAATGTTCCAGACCCCTAAGGGGAACCCGGGTACCTTTGGAGACCGTTTCCGACAATGCATGGCGGGGACCAAACGACGGGAAATAGACGAGCGTATCGCGAGTTAGGACCCGTGGCGACTTCGGTTCCTCCATGATTCATAGCCAGCACTAGTAGACTTCCGCAGAATGATCAAGACGGTAACGTGTCGATACCTTCCTCAAGGGGATCTGGCAATTCAGTTGTGGACGATATATTGCATCGAGCGGTGGCTGCGTTGGCCACGCAGGGTCAGTGGAGTCAGCATTTGGAGAGCCCAGATCTGGCGCAGATGATTTTTGGGGAAGTTCCATGTCAGCATAGGGATTCGGGAAGACTGAAGTAAGTCAATGAACTTTCCCTCGTATTTTTTTTTGTTTATGTAATATGTATTAGATTTTTTTTTAAAAAAATATATTTTGAATACATTTTCGTTTTGTTGATATATATATAGGTGTGCCGGGCCCATAAAGGGTAGGCATGTCCTATCTTCAGGATAATTAGATATAATCATAGTTTATAAATATATATCTTATATTATAACACGTTAATTATAATCACGTGATGTTTTTTTATATTTAGTTATATAACATAGGAAAAGGATATATATTTTTTTATATTATTCATTAATTAATTTTTGAATATGAAAATTACGAAAACGTAGTTTGAATTAATTTTATAGATATGATATTTTGAAGATTTTATTTTGTGTGGAAAGTATTAATAAAGAAAATCATTCGTGTAATTTTAGTGTGTGTAATTAATTATATATTAGAGCATTGATTAAGTTGATCTCTAATTTGCCAATTATATTTATTTCCCGGTTTCTGATTATTTTGTAATTTCGTATAGTTTGTTTGGTTTCTTTTTGGTTTTGGTTATTTCATTTTTTTTTTAATAACCAGGTCATTTTAATATTGGTATCAAATATAATTTATACATTTACTAAAAATTCAAGATTAATTTATTGGGCAACATTTGGCAAAATATTTTTTGCAAGCCAACCCAAAATTTTTCCCCTATTTATTTGGAATTGAACAAATTTATATCTTTTTTCCTTCAAAAAAAATTATCATCTTTTTAAAAAATTATCATCTTTTTAAAAAATTCTTATTGGGCTGTGCAGTTTTCTACTTATGCTTATGATGAGGGTCCCTTCAAAAAAAGGTAAAAATCCTTAAGGCTATGTTTTAATCCGGTTTATTTTTCATACTTATTTCTGTTTAGCTTAGTTTAAACAACTTTTGAACTAGGATATTTATATCCATAATATTATGTTTTATGTACTTGGTTTACTATATTGTAGTGTATAGTAATTATTTAGATAATTGGATGAATGGAATACTTATAAACTAAATTGTCTCTTACTTTTTCCGTTATTTGGTCGGAGCTATATAGCCCGCTTATTTTGAAACGAATTGAACCAGAACATGGCCTTAAAAGTTGTTAAAATCTATATATATATCTTAATCTCAACTATTTTGTTATACGTTTTTTTTATAATATTCGTCTATCCAGGTCATAATTTATTTTTTCGAAAAACAAACCTAGACCATGCTTGAAATAAAACCTAGGATGGGCCCTTTAAAAATAAATTATTATCCATTAATCAAGTCGTTAAATGTTGGGAAATCATCATAATAATGGACCATTTAATATTCATTTTACTTGCTCATATTTTTCTTCATTTTTTTATATACCGATACAAATAATTTTGAAAAACACAGAGACAGCCAAAAAATTATTCAAAATAAACTAAAATTTCTAAAAGAATTTCGGCCCGATTTTAGTTAAATATCTGTTTATTTCTTTCGGTATAATTACTAGTGATGCAAAATCGCTCCAGTTGAGACCATTAATATTTTATCCTAACAAAAATCATACGCAAGCCCGAAAATTTTTACCGTATATGGTACAAAGGTTTGGTCATCTATTAACGAAATGTCGAGGTATAAGCAATTCGGTTCAAATGGAGCCGTTTAACGGAATAATTACCATCATTATTTCAAAAAGAAAATTGTGAAGTGATTATGTTGAAAATCGGACTATTTGGCCGGATTAAAAATGGGATATATGTCACAAATATTAAGAATTTTTTTTTAAATATCCAATTAAGCCTTTGATCCCATTTCTACAACAAGTCATAGTAACGAAAAAATAACATTTGAGAGGCACATATATTTGGATGATCCATCTCAGGTATATTAATTTTAATATCATGCATTTTTTCTAATGTTCTAACGATGAACGACTTTTTTTTTTGTCGGACTTTGAACGTGAACGCGTTTCGTATTTTTGACGAACGCGTTCGTTTTTTACGTTCGTTCAATTTTTAGAAAATTTTCTTATTTTTATTCATTTGAAAGATAAAAAAAAAATTAATATAATATTAATCCAATTTTTTTAAGAAAAAAGTGTTATTTTAATCAGCTGTTTCCATTATCACATTAATTTTTTTTAACCAGCCACTATTTCTGTCCTACAGTATACTTGAACATTATTATTTATAGATTAGCGTAAGCATGGATGTAGTTATTTCATCATCATTATCTTATTTTGAATTAACATTACCATGGTCAAAATCTAATAAATAACAGTAAAATCATGTATTTAATAAACTAAATTCTATCCTTACCAAATGTAAAATAGGTCCCAAAAGTATAATATCAGTTTCAAAAATCTTCAACTTCTAATTTAAAGAGGCACTTGTTTGTAATATTTATTTTGTATAATATAACTGTTAGTGGTCTGTTAAAAAATTTATATTAAATTGTTGTATATAGGCTTATTATATTAGATATATTTGGTAAAAATCATTAAATAATATATATTATATACATAGATATAAAATAGTTAATATCTTTTAGAAATTATTTATTCTATAAATATTTGAAATTTGTATTTATCACGGTTTTTATATGCATTTGGACAAAAGCTCGTCATGTTGAGAAATATTGAACACTTTTTTTCGTTAGGTTATTTTCATATGATTTTTTAAACAAAATAAATTTATTTGTTATAGAAAAAATATATATAATATAATTAATTTGTGATAAATGCAGCAATATTATTTTTAATAAATTTATTATACTATATAAAATATAAAAGAAAATATAATATAATATATATTGAAATGAAGAGATAAAAAGAGTTGCCAAAAATATTATAAAACAAATAGTTATGTAAATTATATAGAAGATTAGCTTATATCATATTTGTGTCTTATTTTATTCTTTCTCTTCTAGCCAAAGCTGTAGGTTGGACATAGATCTTAGATCCCTTTCGGTAATAAGTTTTTTTTATTTAAAAAATTGTAATGAAATTGAGTAGGGGTTTTTAAATTTTTTAATTTATGTAAAATGATTTTGTTGATTTTAATAAAATAGCATTAATGTATATATCCTTGGATAAATCTTTGACATCCTCGTCTGATGTCATTAATTCTACTTCAGTAATTATATTATTATCATAATTTTTGGAAAATGTTTCAATTTCATGGAAGCTATTCGAATTTTCATTGTTATGATTGTTTTTAATTAAATCAGGAAGTTTAAAATCATTTTCAATATTTTTCAAGGGCAGATAAAATGAAGGACTTGGGTAACATTCGTCTAAAGCTAAAAGGGAAGGCTATAACTTCAATGATTAGGATAAATTCTGATACTTTAAAAATAGAAGTGAAAATCCATAAAATATAGTGTTGTATAATCACTCCCCAATATTATAGTTTTTTTTATGTGTTCAAACTACAAATATTTAAGATTAGGACTTAATTTTGAAACTTGGCTAAGCGAATACTAAATTACTACTTTGCTGGGCCAGAAAATTCTGTCATTTCTAAACCACTATTGCATATATGTATGGGCGTAGCCAGCGGGGATACGAATTTTCTGTTTTATTACCATTTCGGCCTGGAGTCTAATCCTAGAAAACTTTTGACACATTGACTAAATTATGAATCATAATGAATATATACTTTTTTTAAAAACATTTTAAATTAAAAGTAAATAACACTGTTTCGTAATCTTATTTTCATTCATTCATAGAATATCCATTCTTCTTTGGGTCAAGCCGACAAGATATTTTACAAAGGGGAAGACAAAATGGAAATTCACAAGCAAACAACTTCCAACTTGCAAGCGCATTGTTATAACCCATATTCCGCCTCCGTTTACACGGATTATTTCTACAATTATTTCGACTTGGGATTGGTTCGTAAACCTCGTCATTTTTATTAATTCCCCCCCCCCCCTCTAACCTACAATTTAAATATATCGGAATGTTCGATACCCTCACATCTAGAACAAAGAGAAATTCCACCTATCCAATTTTAAGATTATTATGTTCACCTTAATAATATAGAAAGAATTAAAGAAACAATGAAAGAAAGGTAGGAAGGAAAAGTATAAACAAAGGATGGATTTTTTATAATCCTATTATTGGCTTTGTGCTAAGGGACTGAAAATCCAGGATCCTAAATCAGGTCTTCTAAGTCTTATCGATTATCAGCTTAAATCTTCTTTACTTATATCTGCCATTTAATATTTATTTTTTGAAAATAAAAAAAAAATTCAAGGATATTTTATTTGACGGTGAACACAATAGGGTCAAAAAATTTATACTTCACACCAATTATCCCGGTCATTACGATTTCAATATGTAAATAATTTTATTTATTTCCATAATTAGAAAGAAAGAAGGAAGGAAGGAAAGAAAAAAACAAACTTAGCATAATATTTATTTATAAAATTATTAATTGCCATTTTTTAATGAATATTGTTATGATAATTTTGAGAAGTAATAGAATTTGAGAATCAGTCTTCTCTTCTCTATCACCTTATTTTAAATGCTGGTTCGTTTGTAACCAAAATTTAATATGTTAATTTCTTATACAAAGTGATTAAAAAAAAGGTATATATATTAAAATTATAAAATAAAAACATAAACAATGTTAAGATAATATTTAAGAAATATGATTTTAAAAAAAAAACTATTCAAATTATAAGGCGTGTGTGCCATAATAAAACTTAGAACGTAAATATTATATAATAAATATAGGATTCTAATTCTATATTTTTTGGACAAAATTAAGTTGGTCAAACAAAGGAAGGGGCCTTCCTACACCCCCCCCCCCTACAATTGTTTATTTTAATACACCAAAATATAGAATCCTTAGATAGAGTTAACCAGATGGAATAATATAATTTTTTTTAATCGTCCTTCTTATTGACATGGAGTTAGAACTGAGGACGTATCAGCATATCCGGCAGAAATGCTTATCCCAAATTTTTTTCAGATTTAAAGGTTTCAAATTATGTGTAAAGCCTCCATTTCTGTGGGGGAGGGATCTAATTTTTGCACCTAATCAGGACACTGTTGAGTAATACGAATCACAACAAAGTATTCTTCTTCTCCGTTTTATGGCGATTTCCAGGTTTACCTAGGTAGGCCAGTTTTCCCTCTGATTTTTCTTTTCCATTTTTGACGGTCCTGAGCATCAATACTTGTAAGATTCATGCATCTCATATTCGCCGCTATCACATTTGTCCACGTCATCTTGGGTCATCCTCTAGGTCTTGATCCTCCTACTTCCATTATTGTGCATCTCTTTACCCAGTCATCTTTTGTCATACGTTCCACATGCCCAAACCATCTTAGTCTATTTCGTCGCATTACCATACCAATCATTTCTATACCCAATCTTGCTCCCAATTCCTTTGCTAGTTTTTCTCTCTCTCGGAGATACCCCACACCCATCTAACCATCCTCATCTCCGTTCTTTCTAATTTGGCTTCGTGAGTCGCTTTCATTGCCCATGTTTCACCGCCATAAACTAAACAACTCCTCACACAGCATACGTAAACTTTCCCCTTTAACTTCAGAGAAACTTTTTTATTTGTAAGAATAGACGACATCTCTCTGAACTTCTTCCAAGCTTGTCTGATCCTTGCAACAACGGCAGAATCTACACCACCATCTGCATTTAGCATATCACCTAAATAATTAAACTTATCCACTTTTTCTAGGGTTAACCCATTGCCAATATCCAGACCACCATTTTTTAGGTTATCATTATTATGTATCCCTTTCATGCATGTTCTACAAATAAAGGTCATTCTTTCTAACATGAAACTGCCTTTTTTCCCTCTTACATCTTTTATGTACCCATTTCTGGCATCTGGTGCATTGGATAGAATTTCTAGCAACTCATTTCCCACACCACAAGGCCACTTACCGGATTCCTCCATCTTTAGATTTTCCCCACCAATCATCACCTTTGTTTTTGAATTCATTTTCAGGCCCTTTGCTTCCATAGTCATCTTCCATTTGCTAACTTTATCCCTCAATTCTCCCTCACTGTTTGCCATTAATACAAGGTCATCTGCATATAATAGCTCCCAGGGAAGTCCTTCACGCATTTCTCTAGCCACCACATCCATTATTAAGGTAAATAATAATGGACTCAGCACGGATCCTTGATGAAGTCCTACCTCACCTCAAAGCTGTCACTATCACCAATCCGTCCATACTGCTGTTTGTGCTCCAACATACATTGCCATCACTGCGGTAGCCAACCATTCCTTACCTGATTTTCTCAAGGCCCATCTAGTAATCTCACGCGGCACCCTACCAAATGCTTTCTCCAAATCAACAAACGCATAATAGAGTTTCTTTTCCTTTGCAAGATACTTCTCCTGAATTTGTCTCACCACAAAAATTGCATCTGTCGTGCCTTTTCCCGATGTAAAACCAAATTGCATTTCATCAATTTTAATTTGTTCCCTTAACCGCTTCTCTAACATTCTCTCAAATACTTTCATTGCATGTTCCAAGAGTTTAATAGCTCTGTAAAACCCGCAATCTAAAGGATCACCTTTCCCCTTGTATACTGGGATAATTATACTTCTTTGCCAGTCCTCGGGAATAGTACCTTCTGTGACAATTTGATTGGCTAAATTCATTAACCATTCAATCCCTAAATCATCAGAACCTTTAAACATCTCTGATACCACCATCGTTAAACCCGATGCCTTCCCTTTCTTCATCTTTTTCACTGCTCTCTTTATCTCGTCCTTGCCAAATTTACACCCTGGACCTTCTACCTTTGCACAACTAATATTATTATTCCATTCATTTTCTTCATTCAAAAGTCCTTTCATGTAAATCTTCTAGGTGTTCTTAATACCACTACTATCAATCGTCATTTTTCCTTCCATATTTTTCAAACACTTTACACCTATCACATCCTGCCTCTTTTTTGACATCTGTTTTGCCATTCGAACCATTTCCAATTCCATCAGCGCATTCCATTTCTTTAACAAACTCGTGTCTATTTTCTTCTTGAGCCTTCGCTATTAATTTCTTAGCATTTCTTTTAGCCATCTTGTAAATATCATTATCACTATTTTCTTTGCTATTATACCATACTTTAAAACACCTACGTTTCTTATCCACGGCTTTCGCTACCTCCGGGTTTTACCACCAAGTCTCCTTATGTCTAGGCGGCCCTTTTGTCCATCCACATACCTCCTCAGTTGTCATTACCCAGGCTTTATTCATGGCTTCCCACTTGTCATTCATCCCAGATGCTTGTGCCACCTCCGCCTCCCTAATCGCCAATGCCATATTGAATTGACGTCTAGCACTCTCCTTCAATTTCCAAACTTTCAGCCTTGGGACAAACTTTCTTTTAGTGACCCTGGCACCTTTAAGAGTGAGATCTCCTACAACTAGTCGATGCTGATTTATACATTCCTCTTTCGGTATCACTTTCACATTTTTTACTATACCTCGATCACATCTCCTTAATAACAAGTAATCCACTGCACTTTTGGTACTACCCGACCTATAAGTCACCAGCTTCTCTGATTCTTTCTTAAACATTGTATTACAGACAATCATATCCATAGCATCACTAAATTCTAAAATCCTCTCTCCTTCCAAATTTCTCTTGCCTTAACTGAACCCTCCATGTACTCCTTCATAACCCTCACTACTCGCTCCCACATGTCCATTCAGATCACCAGCCAGGATAATCCCCTCTTCATTTGCCAGTCTCGCGATGTCACCCCCAATAGACTGTCCCAAAATATATCTTTCTCCTCTTCACTTTTTCCAACCTGAGGAACATATGCCGAGATCATATTATATAGCTTTCTACCAAAAATCATCTTGATTACCATTATCTGGTTGTCTAGCCTTCTCACTTCGACTACTTTGTCTACCAATTTCTCAGCAACCAATACCCCAACTCCAGCCTTACCATCATTACTTCCTTGCCTAAAGAATTTATACTTTTCGCTAGTCTTGCCAATCATTCTGGTCTCATTTCCTTTCCAACTAGTCTCCTGTATGCAGAACACTTCTATATGCCTTCTGTGCAATACATCGACGACTTCTCCCGCTCTTCCCGTCATACTCCTAACATTCCATGTCGCGACCCTAACCCGATCACCCGTAAACTGGTTTCTCCACTTTTTATCAGGTCGTTTATGGCCGTCATAAGTTTCATTTTCATGAATAGTGGTTTCACCAGGTTTCCCACCCTTCTTTTTGTCGTAGGCGGATGAGGAGGCCCACGGGGTACTTTGGGCTGTACCCCGCCCATGCTTTGTTGTAACCATAGGGAAATTTTGTAGCAAGGTTTTTACAATCGGATGCCCTTCCTGACATCAACCTCTTTAAGTGGTTTTTACACCTTGTCGAGGAGACGGTGATCCTATTCTAGACCCAGATCACAGGGAACCTTTTAGACCTCCATTAGCCACCAAAAGACGTTGCCACTCCCGCCACGATGAGGCTGAAGGTAGGATTTTGAGAGAGAATCACGACAAAGTATAATTACTAGTAATCGATTCTTTTAGTTATAAAGAATTTAGATATATTTATCTTGGCTGGAAAAGTGATAAGTTTTTCTTATTTTTTCGTAGAATTAAAATATTATTTCTTAGCATTAAAAATTCTTTATTATTATCAACTTTCCAAGAAATATTAAAATACTTTATATATGAATAATTCTGAATATGATTTTTTTTTCCTCCGAAGACTATATTGCTTTTTGTTTTCTACGAAATATTGCCTTATTTTTTTTAAAAATATATAATTTTAAAATATAAAATTAAATTAGCGATATAAAACAGTAACCCATAAGAGTGAAATCTTGATGCCAATCAGTGACACAGTCACATTCTAAAAAAAGAACCATGGGAATTCGTAAAAGATATTCTAAAGTGCAACGTGAAATAATCGATAAATGCCAACGTCAATTCTTATAAAGGGCAATTACGATTCGTTTACGACATTCCCAATTAAACTTGATGCCTACTTCACTTTAAATGATATATCGGACAAAAAACGAGCAGCTCTTATATCGGCGCCAAAATGTGATTTAAATAAAATTATTCAGTTTGTTGCGATAATTTTTGTCACCCCTGCTCTTGAAAGGATATCGATTCTTATACGAATAATACTTGTCATTTTTATACTTATAGTAAGGATTAAAGTTGTCCTTGCTCTTATCAAAGCCAAATAATCTTGATGCCGGCTAAAATATTTTTTTTAAAATATTACCATTTTTATGATTATTAATTTATATATTTTTTTAATAATCAATCTTACATTTTATCGCAAATATATTCCAATTAACATTTATTACTTTCAAAGCAGGAAATTTTTTACTAATTTATTCTATGAATTAATATCGATTTCGATAGGTTTTAAATTTGTCTCATTTTAAAATTTCCCGCTTAATAATTTAAAACTTTTTCACTGCAAAACTAAAGGCGAAATATTTCTAGAAAAATTATATTGATTTGATTGAGATCGGAACTTACGGAAATTAGTGGAGAGGGTTTGACACCAAGCTCTTCATTGAAAAATTAGGTTAATCTCAAAGAAGATTAAATTTCACATTTTAAATTTATAATGTGCTTCTTGATCATATTTCCCCCATTTTTTAATACTTTGTGAGTTTGTATACATGCTTTATTCTTTATTTCTAATATTTATTTTAATTTATATCAGAGACCTGTAGGCCAGGTCCGGGTACATGGGCCGGGCCTTATTAATTTTTATAACAATGCCAGGCTAGGCCTAAAAAAATTTTTTTTAAATTACCCGGGCCGTATATTTTAAATCGCTATTATTATCTATAAAAATAAATATAATATATTTTAAAAAAATCCGTGGTGGGCCTAAAAATATAAAGCTCGGGTCTGGCTAAAAAAAATTAAAAATTCCGGGCCGGGCTGTGCCATGCAAATGTCATCTTTGCAGGTCTATGATTTATACACCAAATTTTAAATGCTTTAATAATTGTAAATTTTTTTTAAGTTATTTTTCGAGATTATTTTTATAATAATTTATAAATTTAATATTATATCATCGGGTTATATTTGAATTTGTTTAAGATTTTATTATAAACATTTATAATTATTATTTTATATTTTGTATATGTATATACGATAGATACAATCGGGCCCATTTCGACATACCCCTCAACTTAACTGCCGATCAAAATATTTCTCAACCCTTGATCACGACATCTGACGACAAATCATTTTCAAACGATCGCGATAAATCTGTCACCGATGGCATATTTCATATCGATCCATTTTCTAAAGTAAACATATCTAAATTATTTTTTAACAAAATAACTATAAAGTGAGATGACGTGTTATAATCGGAGTTTGGAATCTGAAACGAAAAATGGTTCTGCCTTCAATGTAACATTAATTTATAAATAAACGATTCCCCACTTCTTCCTTATAATTAATAGCTACCGATCCCATTTCCCCTTTTTGTTAAATTTAATATTCTGCCATCTTTGTTCTCTCCAAGTATCCCTCCATTTCCTGAACCATGTCGTCCCTTATCATAAAACTAATGCACTGTTTTCGCAAGAGATCATAATTGTCAAAAAATTTCGGCATCACTTCCGTGCGACAGGGCTTACTGTAAAAGGTCACAGTGCAAAGGTCGCTTACAAATATTCAGCCGCCAAGAGGACCTTAGTAATTCCTTTAACCCTTCGCACTTACGATAACACACAATTTAAAGTCTCAGATAATTTGTTTATTTACACTATTTTCTCTTATAGATGTATTTCCAAAAAAGAACAAGTTTATATGCTTATGACAGAATTATTTCTAATAATTTTAAACAAGATTTTTCCCTTTTTCATTATATTTTTTAAAAATAAAAATAAGAATGGATTAATTAAAATGCGAATATTATTTATTTTTATTAATCAACTAAAACTAATAATATCATTTGCATCATGATCAGTTACAATCCAAAAACATAATTAAAATCCTTTAACAACTTCATCAATTTTAAATCACACTTACGACAATAATGACAATGGCAATCACATATTTCATTGTTTATAAATCTATATTAATAACAAATAAATTAATTTATTGTAAATATTATAAACCTGAATAGGCAATTTCTATCACCAACAATCTGTTCGGTGAAAAAATTCTCTCCCATCACACCATTATTTTATTTTGGATATCTTTTCTTGATCACAATATGAAAGCATTCAGAAAGAAAAATTTTCCAATTTATTTGGTGGAAAGAAAAAGATCTGTATCATCTTTCTTGGAAATTACAGTTTTTACTATACATTCTTCATCAAAAAATATGCGTAATTAAATGATAATACAAATTTATATTTCTCTAAACAAAATTGTCAATTACAACGGATACATTTGGATTAGGAGGCATAACAACTATTAATCTAAAAAAACAAATTAATATCAATTTATAAAAATATATTCGTTTCCATTGACACCTTAACCCTCTTTAAAAACTGCATCATCTAAAAAATATTTGGAAAATTTATCATTTTGAATTTTATGATCAAGATAAGATATCCAAGATATAATAATGGTGTGATGGGAGATAATTTTTCCATCGAACGTATTATTGGTGATGGAAATTGCCTCTTCAGTGTATATATATATTTACAATAAATAAATTTGTTTATTATTAATATAGATCTATAAGCAAAGATATATGTGATGATTAATATCATTATGATCTTCTGTGAAAACATAATATTCTTTTTATGATGAGGGACATGGTACAGGAAATAGAGGGATATCTTGGTGAACCCGTTAGATTGCAGATAATGCAACTTATAGCACCGATTTGGAGATCGGTGCTATCGGAACATGTTGCAAACAAATATAATGATGTTTATAAATGAGCATATTATATACCTATAAAAAAAATTAGAACACATTAAAAAATTTGATGTCGATATATATTTAATAAATCACGGGAATCACTTTGATTGCATAATAAATTTTACTTAATCTTATTTTTATTAATAGTTAATATATAGTATATCGATTTAATTTATACATTTTTTTTAATCATATGGGTATAAATTTGTATTATTTTTAATTATCATATTTATAATTTTTTTTAACTAAAAAATAATAAAATTTTAACTCTTATAATGATTACGATAATTATTTTTGGTAAGTTATATTTTTATTGTGTTTTTTTTAGGATTTTAAAAATCAGGTTAAAATTACGGTTAATAAATTTATAAGGATTATTATAATATAAAGAAAATATGACCTCATTTAGTGTTGTAAACGGGCTGATTAAGATTATAACCAAAATAACATTATGTAAGACTAAAGATTTTGCTTATAGCTGGCAGAAATTGGACATTTATTTGCCAAATCTAGATGCTTACATAATATTATTTTAACTAAAATCTTAATTGGGCCATTTTAAAAAAAATCGGGCTTTTTAACAACACTACCTTTCAATACTCTAAATATGCTATAATTATAATTTTGTGTAGTTTAAATTTAGCAGGGTGATACCATAATGGAGAGAGAAAGATTTTACCGCATTAGTTTGACACTATTGTGTATTATATATAAAAATACCTATCAGCCAATTTGCTATGAGTCTTGACTTGATGATACCAAAATGAACAGCAAGAGATATTTTACTGCCACATTAGTATCACATCCACTGTGAACTATTTTAAGAAGTTCATTTCTTCCGTCGCAATATAAAATTATTTGTCCATTATGATGAGAATAGTGAAACAATTTATTCTCTCAAATTATGTATTTGGAGGCATGTACACGCAGATTGCGTCTTGAGCCAATATTGATAGGCATAGATGACGGATATCTCCGATAAAGTATATAATCCTCTATCTCATCGAATTCTATAGAAAAATATATTACATAAATTTTATAATTGATTTATCGTCTTTCGTTATTTAATTGAAAAGAATGATAATTTTTGTATCAAAATCAACTATTGAAATGAATAAAAAAAATGTATATATAATAAATTTCATTAACAAGATACATATATAAATTCATTGTAAAAATTATTCAAAGCACACTATACATGTTAGTAAGAATGTAAGTGAATTAATCATTATAAAAATCTTAATTATATATTAAATATAGTTGAGCATTGGCTGAAAAATGTTCGGCTCAATCTGTAGGGACTAAGAAAATCCACTAAGCATTAAGTCGAGAGTTAATTTATTTCTGCTTATCAAAGGTGGATTATATTTCCAAAAAAAAACTCGAGGCTGAAGTGATTTCTTTTAAAAACGTTAAAAATAACGCAATCCACCAACAATGAGTCATGGAGAAGTTAAAATGGGGCTTGGGGAATCGAAGCATCATAAATTATCACTAAATTGTGAGATCTGCCAACTCTCTGTTTATATATATATATATTAAAAATTATTTACCATAATTTTAATTTTATTGAAACAAAGTGGGACGAAATCAAGGAATTTTTCTCTCGAAAATCTTCTAATGACCCTTCTCGTCGAACAGATGAAATACCCGATAAGCCTGTCGTTTTAAATAGGACGTCTTCCGTGAATAGTGTCAACCCTTTCGGTTCCACGTATTGTTACGCTTTCAAGAATATAATATTCGAAGTAACATACCATATTATATGTACTGTATTAAACAATAGTCCTCGAGGTATGGGTCGAACTGGAATTCACCCCTCCACATCTTAATATAAGCAGAGATCCAAATCGAAACCAATATCGGTTCGGTTCGAACCTTTAAAACCCGGGCCCCCCGTTGGTATTGTTATTATCGTAATTGCATGCACATTATAAAAACAATTATCTAATTTATAAACAATAACAAATAAATATGAATTAACTTCAATATTGAACATTAATTACTTTAAAAAAATAGTTTAAGCAATACTATTAAAATATTTTCTACCTTAGTTAAATTACAAATTTCTATCCCTAACTTGAAAACCGACACTGCCAATATTACTGCCACTATGGTTACATTTAAAAAAGTTGAAAATTTTCATTTTATAAAGAACTCAATTTATTTATTTTAAAAAAAAAATTTTTTATTTATGTAAATAAATTTTTGATAATATTTTTTTCCATAAATTATTAATTTTTATAACAATGATGGAAATTAATCAGTAAATATATATATTTTTTAAGCTAAATATTTTTTATTGTATTAGACCCTGCTGTAATTGAATTAATCCCTACTATAAATAATTATGAAATAGATACTACTCTTGCAGGTGAAAATTAATATATATTATTTATTACACACCTTTTGCAGTAAAGTTAGATATTCATGATTCATCATTTTAAAAGAATGGCTACATAAATACGAATTTAGTACTACAAATTATGCAATACCGTTTCAACAAATCTAAGGATCTAATCTTTAAGTCTACAATAATATATGAACGAGTTTATTCCCAATGTTATGAGGGGAAAGTCAGACCCTCCAAATCAAAAGATTTTAATTTTATAAGTATTTTTTATAGGAAAAAGACAAAGATTGTCAATTAAAAAAAATTGTTTGTCTAGAATCTCTTTTACCCAAGATGGATCATACCTAAAATGTATTCATATATATGATATACATAATCATGATAGAGGTTTTATTATTTTTAAATGTAGATAACCTCATTTTTATAGATCTATCTTTGTTCATGTCATCTTCCCGGCAAAGACAATTGGATGGTGATCAAAAAACGATAATTCACCAAGCTCTCAAATATGACGAAAATCTTACTTTGATTCATCAAGAGATGAAAAAAAATAATTAATATAACTAAAAGTGATTTATATAATCTGAAACATAAATATATGAAAAAACAAAGTAGCATGAATGATCTGGAAGATCTCATCATAACGATAAAATTAGACGTCACTAATATTGTCGAATTATTTGAAGAAAATGGCATCTTTAAAGCATTATATTATCAAACTAATAAAATGCAAAGTCATTATTCTAGATATCCTAAGGTTATTATAATCGATGCTACCTATAATTTAAATTCTTACCACTCGCCGGTCTTTACTTTGGGTATAATAGATGGTGAGATTTGTCCCTCCAAAATTCTAGCCTCTCTACGCCAAGCTGAATTCCTCACGAATTTCATGCCGATTTTTTATCGTAGTGTAAAAATACCTTTTGATATTTAGAATTTTTTTTAAAAAATGGTAATATTTCCAATATATGCCAGGGCTTTTTGCATAGACCTATCTTTTAAATTGGAGAAGAATTTTTTTTAACTTTTATTAAAAGTTAAATTACATTTAATTGTTATCTGTCTTTTAAATATTTGTAGAACGTGAAAAATACAAATTTCCAATTTTGCATTGGGACTTGATAAATTGATCTTTCTGTAAATTTTTTATCAGATATAATTATTAGAGTTTTTAGGAAAATTATTATTGTATATTTTAAAAATTTGGCACATTTTTAAAACAGTCATGGAACTTTTTAATAAAATTAACTAGATGGAAACTATTCTGGTATTTTCTTCAACATCTATTATGCCCAAAGTAAAGACTGGTAAGTGGTAGGAGTTTAGATTATAGGTAGCATCAATTAGGACAACCTCAGGATATCTAGAATAATGACTTTGCATTTTATTAATTTGATAATATAATGCTTTAAAGATGCCATTTTCTTCAAATATTTCGACAATATTAGTGACGTCTAATTTTATTGTTTTGATGAGGTCTTCCAGATCATTGATGCTACATGGATTTTTCATATATTTATGTTTGAAATTATATAAATCCCTTTTAGTTATATTTAAAAAAAAAATTTTCATCTCTTGATGGATCAAGGTAAGATTTCCAGCATATTTAAGAGCTTGGTGAATTATCGTATTTTGATCACCATCCAATTGTCTATGTCGGGAAGATGCCATGAACAAAGATAGATCTATAAATAAATTATGTTATTTACATTTAAAAAATAATAAGACCTCAATCATGATTATGTATATCATATATACAGATACACTTTCGGTATGATCCATCTTGGGTAAAAGAGATTCTAGACAAACAATTTTTCTTAACTTACAATCTTTGTCTTTTTCCTTTTAAAAATACTTATAAAATTGGAACCATCAGATTTGGAGGGTCTGACTTAGCCCTCATAGCATTGGTAATAAACTCGTTCATATATTATTGTAGACTTAAATATTAGATCCTTAGATTTTTTGGAACGGCATATTGAATAATTTGTAGTATTACTAATTTCGTATTTATGTAACCATTCTTTTAAAATGATGAATGATGAATATCTAACAGTTACTACATAAGGTATGTAATAAATATATATATATTAATTTTTAATTGCAAGAGTAGTATCTATTTCATAATTATTTCCAGTAGGGCATAATTCAATTCCAGCTGGGTTTAATTCGATTATAGCAGGGTCTAATATCATAAAAAATATATATTTATTAAAAAATATTGTTAATAGTGAAAAAAAAACAATTTTACTTTTTTTAAATGAAAACATTGGCAAGTAACAATAGCCCCAATATAACATCAAACAATTTATATAATTCGAGATATCAATATGACTGATTTTACTGATAGTCTAAGATATTCATTTCTTTATAAGCAAGGTTCTTTAGTAAAATTAACTAAAATATTTATTATATTCTATGATCTTTCTAATGGATTTTTTTTTGTTTATGATCATGTTTGTTTTAAATGTTTCTTCAAGACTGTTTGCTTGACATCTTAATTTTTTAATATTTCTTTTGGATTTTGTTAATTTTAGCGAGTTTTTAAGTTAATTTCTTATGGCCCCTGTAAATTTACATTTGGATATATCATTTATAAACTATACGTAAATAATTTATTTATTAGATTTAATTTATCTAGGCATTAATCATTGGTTTATATTTATTGGATTTAATTTATCTAGGCATTAATCATTGATTTATATATATATATACTACTTGATTAGGGATTCGTTATTAAAAGTGTACAGCGCCATTATGGTTTACACATAATTGTCTGATCGGTGATTATATCAATGCGCATTAATGTCATTTAATAAACTTGCAAACTATAAAATGACGCTACAGTGCAAACCATAAAATGACGCTACAGCTGACTCCTATGTATGATATTTTTCTATATCACACATCCGATCCAAATATATGATTTATTTTTCTTTAATTTAATCTTCAATGTATATTCTTTTCACGTAGAATATATTAAAATTTTATGATAATCCTCCTTGATAAAAAGAATTCAAAAGAGTCATGTGATAATAAAATATAGTCAAGTACATTCGATGCACTAATCGTCAATCTTGTAGTTTATACTAGTGATCTGCATCGGGCCTAATTTTCCAAGCCCGTCCCGACCCGAAATTTTTTTTATAAAGTTTTGCCCGGCCTGGCCCGAATTTATTTAAATATAGAAATTAATTCTTATAATTACTCTAGATAAACGATATATGTTATATGGCGTCTACTTTCTATAAATAAAATCACATATTTTTATTTTACATAAAAAATTCAACATAAAATTGATAAATTTAGATATATTTTAAAAAATTTGTTAGGCCCGACCCGGCCCGGCCCGAATTTTCTTAAAAAATATTAGGCCCGCCGGGTACGGGCCGGTCCTACTTTTGCAGATCTCTAGTTTATACACATTATTGGCTTTAATAAGGTTTTTAAAAATTTAAATATATCCAAAAAGAAAATTATTTTTTAAAAAAATGTTGTAAAATAGCAATATACGAACATTTATAAAAAAAATTGTGACTGATACTTATCAATTAAAATTGAATGATGATAATTTTTAAAAAATTATTTGGACATAAATTAGAAAAATTCGCATTTTACTAAGAATAAATTTCTCATTATATTATAAGCATAACCATGTTCATGAGATTCAAATCGATTTATAATCATTTTTAGAGGTTCGGGTCAGGTTTGATAAAAATAACGGTTAACCCTTTCAGGCAGGATAATATGTAATAAGAATGATAAAATTAAATATATTTTTAATCATTCCAATTTACTACATAAGTTATAGTGATTTGAAACTGGAGTTAATCAAATATGACATTTTATTATTTTTAAATTAACCGATCTTAATTTTACTATAAAATTATCAATTTTGATGATGAAAACATATTTAATCATGGAAGTACAATTAATGCAATGCCCTCCTTTCATCCTTTTCTCTAATCTTATTTAAAAATTTTCATGGCTCCTGATATGGCTGGAGGAAGTGGAATCCATATGATATGATTTTTGAAAATTTAAAATATATTTTAAAATAAAACTTTTTACTAATAACAAAAAGGAAAAAAATTTATCAACCTCGTTTTGGGTTAAAACCGGTTTAAAGGTTCGGGTTTGATTTGGATCCCTGATTATAGCATTATATATTTTTTTTAATTAATTAGTGTATATGACGATTATATTTTATTATACTGATATATACTTATTTCAAAATAAAATTAAGAGGAAAAGATATGATACAATTATGATAATTAAGGTTTTGACTGTTCAATGATTATTTATAAAAATTTCGGTTTCACCCATCATACTCAACACTTGACCGAAAGGACCGTACTCTTGTAGTTGTAACTTCTTTTTTTTCACTTATGATGAAATTTTTTTTAAATAGTATTAAAGAAGTGGTGAAGTTATAATAAAGATAGTTATCATGGAAAGAAGTTCAGTTGACTGGAGAGTCCATTTTGGATGATAGGAAATAAAAGAATGTTTGATTCTTTAATAAAAAAAAATTAATTGATGACATGCTAATTTATTTATTTTTCAACCTATAAATGTAAAAAGATTATGCCAAATAATCACATATCAACAGTCACGATATTCTGCCCAACGACAACTTGATAGAAAAAAAAACAATCTAGAAATCCATAACAAACACGATAATAATGTGTTTTTTACGATTATTAATAAAATTTTAATTTTATAAATTAAAAGTACCGAAAAATTTAATATAATTTTTAGTCGTCTGTCCGGTAGATGTTATAAATAGGATATAATATATATTTTGTAGATAATAATTATTATAATATTTTAAATTTATTTATACAGATTATAAATAATATATTATAAAATGTAAATTATACGAAAAATAAAAATAATAATTTGAAGTCATTATAATTAATGAAGTTTGATACTAAATATTAATATTTCATGTGTATGTGTTGGGCGCTTTTATCCAGTAAAAGGTGGTATGGTGCAAGAACGGTATTCGTAGGTGGGGTGGGGGATAGATTGCTAATTTTGATGCATGGAAGGATAGAGTAAAATAGAATTAAAGTTGGGGAGAGGATATGGGATATATCGCTAATTTCTTTTTATTTTTAGAAACCTTTTTAAATTTTGAGGAGGGGCTGACTCCCCCCCCCCCCTTTCCCCATCTACCAAAAATTTTAAATATCTTTTCAAAAGTGTTAAATTTGTATCCTCTTTTTCTTTATTATTGTAATAAAAAATTTTTAATTTTATAAAGTCAAAATTGAAATTTTTTTCATTTTTTTTTCTAGCTAGATCACACCTTTATAGCATAGAAGATAGAGAAGCAAAAGTTTTATTTTCCGATATTTTATTCATTAAGTTTATTATTAAAAAACGGATTATAAAAAACAATTAACGATAAAATTATAGTGCATATATATATAAATTTTTATAAAAAACAATTAAGAGATCGGATTACTTGCGTTGCTTTATGGAACCATGAATACAATGCAATTTTTTGATATAGCCATCATAATGGCTTGTTTAAAATAGAAGGCTTCATTGCGATTGCCACTTATTTGTCTTAATTTTCTCTCTAATATGATAGTTTAAGGAATTCCTCATCAAAAACACCAGAATATTTGGTGACAAGTAGGATAAAAATTACGTTAATGAGGTTTGAATATTTGTTTATTTTTAAGATTTCTGCCTAATTAATGTTGAGGTATTTCGGTTGGTTTTAACAATTTGTATGGATGGTTGGAAACAGTGTTGGGCAGTAATGTGAATACTTGCATTTAATACTAAATTCGAATACTTTTTTGTAAATTAATTTATTTGAATACCTTGAATTTTATATTTATTACTATATTCAATCTGCAAAAAAAATTTCGTCTGTGATACGTTACCAGTTTGTGGAATTTTTATCTGTTATGAATGCATTTTTTAATTTATTAACATCCTTTTTGGTATGTTGGCTGAAATAAATCGGACTCCATTTTATTTAAGAAAGATGAGCCTTAGTTAGTATCAAGATTTAATGGTAAATCCTAGGTCTTGTGCTATGATTTTTATGGAATTACTATATGCAATTTCTCATGTTTTGTCATAATATTCTTAGACTTTTCCCGTATACTCCTTGTGCCATCGAGAACTCTAAATATTTTTATAATTTCCCTCTCATTATTCACAATCTCTGAGCTTTCCCATAAAAAGGATATCCTTGAGGGACCTCCATATATTACTGTCTCCCTTTTTATTTTTCCTTGAGCTGATTTCATTATTAATTCGACTAACCTTACATTTATGATTATCTGCTAATACCACAAGAGGATAAGAATATTCTATATAAAATCGTTAATATGAATTCCCATAATTTGATTAAACAACTAACTATCATTACAGTAACACATTATCGGAGATTCACATGATAGATTTGAGTATTCATATTTTGAAAATTAAAAAATATGGATTATATATGATTTATGAATGATTGACCACGTGATTAAAAAACGTTCTCATTTTAATAAAATATAAAAGAATATACTCATTTATATTATTAAAACCTAACTCTTATCTGTCTAACCTTATGCACGTTCGTCTCTCACGTCTCACATATTCCAGTTTTGGTAAAATTATGCAAAATAACTATGATTATTTTCCCAAATGAAATGTCTTTATTACTTGAAATTAAAGACCTGCAAAGCCAGGCCTATTAGGATCTTTCGCACGAGTTGCCAGCCGTTATTTGTCAGACCGGATAAAAATTTTTGACAATTTCCAGGCCCGGCTCATTAAAATTCTTATGAAACAGATGGCCCTCTAAATTTTTTTGTACGAATTTTCCTGCCAGCTTATTTTTAATGCATAATTATATCTGAATCAATTTTTCCCCAATGTCAATTAAGGTCCTTTTATCTCTACTCTACCAACTGTGTTTTGATACGCATATTGTGTGTAATTGGGATCGTATCTTAAATAACTAGTTTAATTTTTTTCTTTCTGAATTTATTATTTACGTTAGACAGCTCTTACAATACAAAAGGAACAAGCATATTTGTAATCTAAATAGTATTAATCAAAATATTAGCTTGGAATCCACAAAAAAATATAACAATTTAAATGCCCAGACTGGCCCATTACGTTAGAACATATTCGAACCGCCCTATTCTACAAATAGGAAACAAATTTTTTATATTTTATGCACGCATTTAATTTAGTTAAACCGTTTTTAAAATGAAAATAAATAGACTGTTATTCTAAAGAATATTTTAATCAAAATCATAGGATTTGCGAAGCTCGGCTCAGTTTTTTATATATTAATTATCCGGCCGGGCCTAGGCTTTCAATTTTACATACGAATTTCTCGGTCCGTTATAAATTTTTTCTAAAATTTTCCCATGTACTCGGGCAGGTTTTAGATGGGTCAGGTTTGCTCTGCCTGAGATATTTAGATAACTGTTAGTTATACCGTTATCAATCGATCTGCTTATTACGAATTTTTTTAAGAAAAAAATAATCTTAGAAAGTGTATATACGGCAAAATAATTTTTAATAACTGTAATTAATATTGTTTTAAATTTTGTCTCTAGCTTAAATCAAGCCTTAGTTTGGATCAAGAATCAGCAAAACAAAAAAAAATCAAATAGATCCTTATAGCCGCCAAAGCCCCAATTTATTGGTTCGCTTTAACTGGCGAGCTGGCCATAAGTATCTGATCGTTTATACCGAGACTGACGGGCTACATCAGTTTTTTAGTCGATATCTAGTTTCCTCGGAAAATTGAGTGATACCCCTATTTATATTATTATAAATTAAGCTTTAGTTTAATCCTCTAGGTCTTATTCCGGTTTTGGCGAAATAAAGCAAAACTATTACAATTTATATCGTTTCAACTCTAACCTAAATGGGGCTCTAGCTTAGATGGAGAATCAGCAAAATCAAATAGATTCCTATGGCCGCTGCAGATCTAAGACATCTGTTTAATTTTACTGACTGTGGGCTTGTTACTACAATCTTCTGTAGAAGGGCTTTATTATTTTTCCCCGGGATTTTTAACTCATTATAAAGTATTCCAAATTAAATTACTGGTTTTTTCTTGATTACCCCTATATTGCATAAGCATAAAAAGACATTGTAAATGATGTGGAAGCAAATGATTTTAATTATTTCTTTTAAACATACTATTTAAAAAATAATAATTGTATACGATCTATAAAAACTAAAAAATTAATATTATTGTATGTTGTAACGAATCAAATACTAAAAAGAATATTGTGAATATACTATTGTATAAAAAAAAAATTAAGTAGACGACAAAAATTATAGGGTCTTTTATAATATAAATAATAAAACACGATTACTATTATTTTTCTCTTTGAAAATAAAAAATTTTAAACGTTTTTAAAAAAAATAAATTTATATTTGTTTTTTTTTAAAAAAAAAGAATTATTATTTGATTTAGAGATTTATTTATTTAGTTTGGAAATTTATTAAAATTTTTAATAAACCAATCATTATTTATTGGTCGGGACCAAATTAGTCTCCGGATCAAAATTATCGTTGGCAAAATTTGATTGAGGATCGATAGATATCGCGAAAGCGTCCTTTGCCCCATCTTCAAAATGATTAGTAATAAAGGCGTTGTCATCACTTGCGTTACGAAAAGGCTTGCTTTTATCAAGAATAGAAACTTTACCGTTAGTAAAACCGTTTATATTGGTCGAGGAATCTTTAAGCTCGGCGGCTTCATTCGGTTGGGGCATATTGCTGGAATCGTTAGTATTTGTTTGAACCGAATCGGAGGTTGGTTGCGACGGGGCAAGGTTGTAAATAACAACCCCGTTTATTATTAAGAGAAAGGCGAGAAGGAATAGTGCATTGAACTGTTAGTATAAAATATTGAATATGTTGTAGATTTTTAACTTAATCTTAATGATGAGCAACGAGATTTAACAAAAATAATGAATAAAAGATACTTTCTTATTGTTTATTTAAGATAGGAGATTTTTTGGTATCATAAATAGAATATACATCTTTGTTAGACTCATTTATGCCAAAACAAAAATAGAAAAAATGATGACAAAGTAAATATTTAAAATATGACAGCTTATCTAACTGTTGGCGTATGGTATCATTTATCTTAGAGATCTGCAAAGTTAGTCCCGGCCCGTACCCGACCCAAATCCGGCCCGGCCCGGGGCCTAATTATATTTAAAATAATCGGGTGGGCCGGGCCTTTTTTAAAAATCGAGCCGGGTCGGGTCGGACCTTGGAAATTTTTTTAATATATCTAAATTTATCAATTTTATATTGAATTATTTATGTAAAATAAAAAAATTTCATTATATTTATTGAAACTAAACGCCATATAACATATGTCTTTTATTTTGAGTAATTATAAAAATTAATTTCTATATTTAAATAAATTCGGTCGGGGCCTTAATTTTTTTTAAAAAAATTGGGGCTCGGGCCGGGCCGGCAAAACCATTTTAAAAAAATTTCGGGCCGGGCCGGGCTAAAATTAGGCCCGATGCAGATCACTAATTTATCTCCCTGTAACCAATTTTGCCTATCACAAATCATTATTAAAATAATGATGGACTATTTCATTCGAAAACTGGGGGCTGAGTGTGCATTGGTAACTTTTGTAACTTATTTTCGGGTGCAAAATGATTTACTAAAATAATTAATCAAGAAAATTTTGTTAGATTGAGTTGATTTTACCTAACATATGATTCTTTTATAAGCGTAGCCAGAATTTCCCTAATAGGTGGGGAAAACTCTTTTTTTAGTGCTTCCCCCCAATTAAATTTTAATAGATATGTTAAGGCCGATCTTTCTGCAAGTCTTTTTTTTTATCGGGTTACATTATTTTTAAATGCTCTTTTCTTAGAAAAATCTCAATTACTTTATTTTTTCAAAATTTACTGTTTATATTGACATATTATTTTTTCTTTATTAGCCTGAGACTTTCTAATCTTCCGCCTCAGCTACGCCATGAATTCTCTAATAGTCTTTGAATATTACATTAAAAAGTGAGATTATTCAGGGTAATGTATCGCGTGACTATAATTTTATTATTTTTAAACCGATATATCGTCGGCTAATAATTATAATGTTTTATATCCGCTTTTTTTTGCAAAATACATTTTTTGTACTGTATTCTTTCATATCACACCATAAAATCTAATTTAGAAATAATCCTTTATTTCCATTATTGTGTTGAATGCAATATATTTTAGCTCTACTGAAGAATTAATTTTAAAAAACGGATATAATATAGAACATTATAATACACAACCGACGATACGTATAATAAAACCTAGTTCTCATCTTTATTTAACTACTTTCACTGAGAGAAGGAATGGACTTTTGACTAGTAACTCTCTAATGAAGATTTATTACTTTATAAATAGTTGTTCTTTTTTTGAACTTTTTTTAGACAAATCAATTTCTCAATACTATGATAAATGGTTGGTGGCAAAACCTTTTATCGGGGAGAAGTGTGTGGGGGGGGGGGGAGTCTAAATGAAATAAAAAGGTAAATTTTACCACCCGAGTATAATTTAAAAAAATAACTCGAATATTAGGAAATTTCTTTAATTTTATGCAGCCACATGGAGTTAAAATAAATAAATATGTATTACCTTAAAATGGAACAAAAACACTCCCAAAAACAGGGTATAGAAATCGGCCGACAGTATAGAAAGGTTAACGGCCAGAGCTGAGGTTCTATTGAGGGCCGTAGCCATGCAGAAGTAAAGTCCGAACATGGCGAGAGAAAATAGGAATACAAGTAATATAGGGTAAGAAGTTTTCAGGTTTGAATTAATGAAGTGAGAAATTTTGATTTCGGAACGTTCTAAAATTAGGCTAAATTTTTTTTTGTAGGGAGGGCGAAGGTGGGTGGGGGTAAGGGAGATAATAGATATAAATTAACGCCTATAACAATTTATTCGTTTTCAGAATCATAATTTAACGAATAAAAATAATTCTGCTTAGAAAATATTCAATTCAAATAAATGAAGAAAATTATTCGCTTACTTTAAATCAAACTTTTATTATACATTTTTTCTGTATTCATTTTAAAATACGTTTTATTCTAAAGGCTGAGACCATAACAGAGCGTTCTAGCATTTAAAAAACTGTGTTGTTTAGCGGCTCGATTTTTTAGAAAGGGCAAACCCAGTATATTAGCCAAAAAAAGGATTTCGCAAGTCTGGGAAATTTACGCATAGATGGCAGAAAGGTTTGGAGATTTATTAACGAAATCTCGAGGCTTTCGTTAATATTATTTTGGCTAAAAAATTAATTTTAAAATCGGCGAAATCGAACCGTTTAACAAAAAAAAATTGAAAAATAAATTCTGTTTTTTTTTTGGATATATATATATCAGAGACCTACAGGGGTACCATTTGCAAGGCTTGACCCGGATTTTTTTTAAAAAAAAAAATTTCGGCCCGGCCCGGGTTTTATATTTTCAGCCCCAGCCCGGATTTTTTTAAAATATATTATATTTATTTTTAATTTTCTAATAATGGCGATTTCAAATATTTGGTTTCAAAATATATGGCCCGACCCGGATATTTTTTAAATAAAATTTTCAGGTACGGCTCGGGTATGTTTAAAAAAATTAAAATACGGTCCGGCCCGTGTATCCGGGCTTAGGGCCTGCAAGTCTCTGATATCTATCTTCCTTTATGTTTAATTTCTCAAACACTAGAACACTTTACCCTAAACTTAGTTTTGCTTAAATGTACTTATAAATAATTATGAAACAAATTAAAAGGTTCATTTTTTTAAAAAAAAATGCTTATTTTTTTGCTTTTACAATTGTACTCCATTTATAAGGGTAGCGAAGGTTCCCAGCAAGGCCAAAAATTCGTATTTATCGAATCTTTTCACAAAAAATTCCTGCCCAACATTGGAGAGACCGTAGAGGATAGCTGCTACCAGGCAAAGCATATCACCCAAAAATTTGTTATTACCGAAGGTATCTTTGTTAAAAAAAGAGAAAAAATATTATAATATAAATATTAATTTTTAAAAAGCTAATTTATAAGAATAATTCTTTGGGATACACTATGAATACGAGTGTAAGAAACCCTGTTGGATATTCAATGCTTGAGCCGTGGTGGTAGTGATCCTTTGTTGACGATCAGAATAAATCAGGAATCCCACCCCCAACACACATATGAATACGCCAAGAAAATGGGATACTCTGTATCTGGCCTTGAGAAACAGCACGGACAGTAGCATTACCACGGGTATGATTAAGCAATCCAACAACTATAATTTATTTTTGAGATTATTAATTTGTTAAATATATATATATATATATACCTATATTACACTTTAATATTTGATAGCTTAATTTTAAGAGATCAAATTCAAAAGTAGTTAGAATTGACCGATATAATAAGATCCGTTACCAATATCGAATTGTAATTAATCGATAATTGATAGTGAAGGTCAAAGGGCCGGTTTTAATGAAATCCTTATAATATATGGATAAAGTTTTAATCGAGTTAAACTAACGGGATAAAGATAATAGAGGGAGGAAAGGTTTGGTTAATGTTAAATCTGACCGTTTGAGCTTATTTGTTTGGATCAAAATTACCACGCATGATTATAATATAATTCAAACAAAATCACTGTTTTAGAGTACCGTCTATGACCACAGACAATGATTGAGAATATCACTTATTTTCTGATCTAACCTTAGGAAGATTTGACCGGGGTATGATATGTAGCAGATCGAATGCAACGGCACGATTCCGTTAACATATATTAATTAAAATGAGGCTTATTTTGGATCTTAATACAATTTTGGTCGTTGTTTAGCAAATTGCTCTTGTTTCGGATAGATGGGTCCATGTAAATTTTTCGGTTAATATTAAAACTCATCGTTTTGGAACTGAAAGAGGCAGGAACAGAATAAATATTTTGGATATATCGCAAACATTAATAAAACACTTTTGAAATAGAGGTGGGGAGAGGGGGGGATCTAGGCCAGTTCCTATTATTATGAAGCGGATATTCAGATAAAAGAGAACGAAAAATCCATAACTTTTGCTAAACCAGTGAGAGTTCCAATAACCCGAATGGGTGAAATGTAAAAATTGGAATGATAATGGAGATATCGAATCATTAGATTTTTCATAAATAATGAATATACCAAAAATTTAAAAATAAAATATTAGCAATAATTACCATAATAAAAAATCATTTAATAATTATATCCTCATATATCTTCATTTTTCGGAGTAGACTGGTTTCAAGACCCTAGCACCAGCAATAAAATGTCGGCTCAGTCAGAAATAATATAATGATTAATAATTTCCTGCATTAAAATGGTACTATAAATACAAGACTGGTTAAGGGCAGGCTGGAAACAAAAAAAACGATTTTGCAGGACTCCGAATCTTACTAAACTAACGCTAAACCTGGATACTGGTGAGAGTGGTGTACTGGTAAGCCTTAACTATCAGGTAATTAGCTTCGACATCAATGAGGGCTAAAACGAAGTATTTGATACCACGGTTTTTCAATATCTCGAAATAATAGTATTTGGTGTAGGAGGAATAGCGGGATGATATCACGTTCCGCCTTTTAAAATAGAGACACGCGTTGAACACCAGCGCCAGCACCAGGTAATTGAAAAAATTTTGAGCTTTTATTTTTTTTTTAAGGAATGTGGCAAAAAAAATGTCAGCATAATACTTCAAATTTATATAATGACAAGATTCAAATCGACAAGAAAATTTGAAAATAAATTTTCTTAAGGAAAAAAAATTTCAACGTTCCCAAGAGGATATTAATTATCCCTTTCCGGTGTAAAAAACCCTGTTGATAATTTTTTTTTCCTTTTTGTGTAAAAGTTTTATTTTCATCGAAGATCTGCAGGCCCGGCCCTAAGCCCGGCTCGGGGATACGGGCCGGGCCGTATATTTAGAAACCAAAAATTTTAAATCGTCATTGTTTATAAAAAGAAATTAAGAATAAATATAATTATATTTTAAAAAACCCGGGCCAGAACCGAGAATTTAAAAAAAAATAATAATAATCTGGACCGGGCATGAAAATATGAAAGCTGGGCCGGGCCGAAAAATTTTTTTAATAAAAAATCCGGGAAATGTATTTCTGTAGGTCTCCAATCTTTATCAATATAAAATATCAAAAAAATAATTTAAAAAAATAAGTGGTATCCAACTACCCTTAGCCCATAATCAGGAGTCTTATAAAATTTTAAATAAGATTAGATGGAGGGGAACATTTGCACCTAAATTTTATTAAATTTGTTTTAATCATATAAAATTAATAACTTTATAGCCCTATATAAAGGTAAAATCTTATCTTTTAATATTTTAATAACATTGGTTAAATTTAAAAATAATAAATTGCATATTTGATTAACTACTGTTTCGGATATTATTATATGCCGAACTTGTGTAGCAAATTGGAATGATTAAAAATGTATTTTATATTTTGGGTGGTTTCAATAAAGATGAAATTTAATATAGTGGTTTAAGAATACAAATTTTAACACCCATGAAACTTTAAATAATGATTATTATTTTAAAAATTTGTGTCGAGATTTTACCATATTTTAAAGATTAATTATTATAATATAAAGGTGTTATTAATAAAGTGTAGTACTTAGCAATATACTAACTTCCAGCTTACCAGCTGAAAGACATTTTTGTGTGCTTAAGAGTGTGCTTAAACGGGGAATGCCTCATATGAATAAAACTATGAGACCGTTTTATTGAATACTAGAACCTCCTGGTCTTTTTCAAATCTGGCAAATGCCCAGATACCAAAAGACCAAATAAAAATCAATAAATATTCATAAATTTTCGTTTATCATATTTTCATACCAATCATATCTACCACAATTACCTTTTGATATACTCGTCCTATCCTATCATTCGTCAAATATCTAAGCTCCCAAATATGTAAACTCAACGGAGAGCCCAGAGAAAATTTCCCCCACCCTCCATCCAAAGGTCCACCAGACCAACTGTAAAAGCAAATTACATTAGCTAATTTCACTTTTAATTTTTCTTTTACCCCTCCCTAATCGCAATCGCCCAACTTTTAGTGTATGCCCTCTGAAACGATATGCCAACGAGTCGGGCTCTCTGTTAAACAGTGAAGGGAACGAACGCAGTGAAGAGATCGGTGGGTTTATATTATAAATTTTTTTTATTATTTTAAAATCATATTTTATCGAAAAATATAAAATATTTAATTTACTCAATATATATATAACATTAAATGCATATTTTACGTAAATTATAATTTTAAAAAATGTATCTTAATTATTTCTTGAAAAATTAGTATCTAAATAAATGTATTTAGATATATTTAGCCCATGTATCTGTATGATACATTGGAATTTTTTTTCTCTAATTTTAACGAAATAATAAAAACAAAAATAAAACTTAACTTTAATTTAAATAAATCGGTAGAGAACTAGAATTAAAAAGGCTTCGGGAGATAAAATCTCATTTTTTTGAATAATGAATTAATTAGTAGGATTGTTTATCAAAATAATTTCAAACGAAAATATAAAAATCGACAATTTTATAATTTCCCGAAATTAAATCCTCGTTCCTTAAATATAATAAAGGAATACCAACTTTAGCACCTGCCAAACTGTCTTTTAACGTATTTACCGTTTTAAACACGAAACCTTTTCATATGAAAATGTGTTGAAAAACACATTAATAAAGATTGAAAAAAAAAAAAAATTTTTTTTAAATTTTATCTTTACTATATAAGAGTAGAGATTATACTCTATTATATTATATATAAAAATAAAAATATTGATACCAAACGGCTAACTAACACGATACTATTTTGATTTGGCATTTATATTAAATATTATAAATTCATTTTTTTTTCAAAAATAAAATATTTAAATCGTTTACGAATTTGAACGCGTTTAATTATTTTTTTTTGTAAATGAACATTGAACGTCAACACGAAAAGCCGGAAGGAATTATTTGTTCTTTTTTTCAAAAATATTTACACAGTACCACAATAATATTTTAAGCTAATTATTCGCTCCCAAATTAAAAGTGAGGAAGTTCCTTAGTTTATGATTTTTTGATTTTCTGAATTTTCGCCTCTAGATCGCCAAGAGTCTTCGCACATCCCTAAAAGGGGTGTTTAAGATTACGAATAGCGTAAAAGTGTAAATTAAATGAATGTGAATGGGGAAAACAAATATAGATTATATAAGATGGATGCTTGTTATAAAAGTGCTCCAATTTTTACGAATCGAATATCTCTCCACTCCTTTATTCAAATTTTCAATTCTTTCATCGAATAATAATGGGAAATAGAATTATTAAAATGAATTATTAAAATATTTCTACTTCCGGTTGGGTTTTTAAAATTGGTCTTCATCTAACCGAGATGTTCTGGTTCACTGTATAGATTATTCAGACTATTTCACCCGAACATTTACCACCAGATTTCGATGATGAGAAGAAAGCAGATGCCCTTAATTTTTTTTGAATATCGCACGAATTTTATAAGATCAAAACTATTAATTTTTTAAATTTGTAATTTGGCATTGTAACGACTGGCTAAAATGACGAGAGGTTAAAAAAGAATAATGAATCGATATCAATGATCAGCCAATGGGAGTCTTATGTGTGTTAGATTAGTATGACGGATTAAAGATTTTTTTTTGCAAAATAATCACAAAAGACTTATAATAAACTTTGTTACAAAAAGCATATTTTTGAATTTTTAGGCAAAATTAGCTCGAAAAAAAAAACTTGTTTGACCGCATTCTCAAAAATAATAATCTTTTTTAAAAAGATCTCTAAATATTTTTTTTTATTTTGAAGAGAATTCAAAACTCTGGAATAAAGGCTTTAAACATATAGTAAAAAAAAAAATAACCTCCCAAAGATGAACTCTCTATCCAAAGTAATATTGTTTAAACGGTTCCATTAGAGCCGTTTTTTTAAAAACAGTTAGCTAAATATTTTTTTCAATATTTTAGTCAGGAGAATATTGAATAATCTTTAGATTTGGTTAGATAGATGTTCAGATCTTTGTATCATCTATGAGAAAAATCTTCAGGTTTGCATATAATGTTTATCCTGAAAAATATTGACCAAGCATCGATATTTGGCTAAATATACGCCCAAACCCTTGTGCCTCTGTATGAGCAAAATCTTCAGGCTTAAACTAATGTTTATCCTGAAATATATTGAGTTAGCCGTTTTTCCAAATCGAGCCGTTTAACAACACTAATCCATAGTGTATTCTCTTAGTGCAAGTTTTAACATATACATATTTTTTTTTATAAAAATTTTATCTTAAATATGAAAATCGTGTGTCATATTAAACAAATATACCATATTTTAAAAAAAAAATTTTTTAAGTTAATAACTTCTATTTTTTTCGTTTACTTTTTCTATCTTTTGAAGATTATGTTTATGGCTATCACAAAACCAATGTGTATATAACACAAAATAATCGATAAATAAGATTATGAAATCGAAGCCTGGTCCTGGACGTTGATAATTTTAATAATTCTCTTATTTTTGAAAAAAAGAAAAAATTGGTCATAATATTTTGTAGATTGGCTGGCCCGTATATTTGTATTTTTAAGGCAAAATAGTATTATTTTTAAAGGCAAAATAGATGTTTTATTTTAAATGAAAATCGCTTTATTTTAAAGGAAAATATACATATTTTAAGAGAAAATATAATTATTTTAAGGGAAGATATACAGATATACATGAATTACTTATAGTAAATAAAAAAACTCTTTTATTTATTTTACCCGTGGGTATATGAACGTGATAAACGGAAGCTAATACTTCACTCGTCACTCCGGTCGTGCAAATCAGTATTGAGATTAATTGGCCCAATAAAACGCTTTCCCACAAACTTCTAAAAAAATTTATAGTTTTTAAAAGATAAAATTTAAAAAAAATATATATATCAATGTCGACAAAGTTATCGAAAAATTTAATATATAAACGCTACGTGTTACATTTTCCGCATGTCGTATACCATAAATTTTTTTTTTATTAACACTTAATACAAAATAAATTGAACAAAAAAAACCGACGTGCGATATCTGATAAGATTTGTTTATAAAAGAAACCGGAAAACATCTGTGATATAAATTGTTTTTCTTTTAAACGGATCAAAAAAGAAGGAAGAGTAGGAAGGAAATCGTAGACCGAGTATTATAATGTTCTATGTATACTTTCATTTTGCGAAAGGCATTTTTCGATAAATCAATTCACCTGCCTTTTCCATATTAACAATAAAAATGTTAAAATACAATTTAGTATAATCCTTAATCCGCATTATTATCCCTGAAATATTTATTTTAAAATGTATATAAAACACTCTAATCCTCAACCGAAGAAATGTAACATTTTTTTTATTGGTGAAGCTAAGGTCTCACTCTAAGGAGATCCTACTTGCGTTACCCTTACCAAAATACTATATGGCGTATGTTTAATGGCATTAAATACTAACCTACATATAGACGATTAAAAGTACACAGATACATTGAAGTGAGCTGTAATTAAACAAAACCCATTTTAAAATTTTTGGGGAACAGGTTCTAACCAAAAAGTGCAAGAAATTAAATATTTTACTTTTTTTAAAAAAATATTTGAAATAAACGATTTCGATAGAATGTTAAAAGGGGTCAAGATTGGTCATCCATCTTATTATTTATTTATTTTTTACACCGGATTAAATTGTTTCAATTCAACATTAAATTCCATTTTTGTATTATATCGGTATTTATATTTTTAAAGTAAAAATAACAATTTGGTCGTATAGCCTTTTAAATCTAATGCAAAATTTTTTTAAAAATATTTGTCTTAATAATTTTATAATCTTAATAAATGTTTTAAAAAAAACCACGCGAATATATATTAAATATAGCAAAATAAAGAGTAGGTCATAAATTATGGATGAATTTAATATGATTTTATTATTATAATAATATATGACATAAAAGATTGTATACTTCGAATGACAAATGGCGTATAAATTATTTTCTTAGAAGATTTATGAATAAGCTAAAAGATCAATTCAAAGTTCGCAAATTAATGGGAATTTATGGCAAAAAAAATATATCAATTAAGCTATGACATAATGTATATTTGTACTTTGACTGAATATACATCCAATTAAATGCGTTTTAGGGTGGCATTGAATGCAAATCAGATGGTGAGATGCCATTTTGGTTATCCAAAAATAAGAATTTTTCAATGATATATATGTATATAACACAAGATTGGCGATGCGTGCATCAAATGCATTTAAAGGTTTTCATACATAACAGTCAGCTGGTGCCATTTTATGGTTTGCATGTTAACCGCATTCATATAATGATGAATAAGACACTTAGTGGTGTGCAAAACACAAATATAGCTGACTCATATGTACACTTTTAGTCATCGACAATCTAGTAGTATATATATATATATATATGTATATAAATTCACTGGAAAAATAAATGAGAATCATTGAATGTTTTTTGGGGAATTCATTTAAAATTTTAATATAAATCATTTTCAAAGTTGTTAAAAGATACTTTTAAAATGGATCTAAATACCGATACAGATGTATCCTCTAAAAACTTATCTAAATACAGATACAATTTTTATTATACTTATAAACATTGTTCGCCGTTGTTCTCAAACAGTAACTCCTCTTATGAGATCAACAACATTTTTATATTTTATTCTCATTCAATTCGAACCCCACATAAAAAAATTGTCAATACTCCTATTTTTAGCGTTCTTTCGAGCAAATTCTCATATAAACAGTGCATACCTTTTTTTTTAAATTTACATCAATCTTATAATTTATTCATCAAATATTAGCGGAATAAAAAATTCTAAACAAATTTATTTGCTTAAAATAATTTAGTGCATCAATGGCATTGTTTTTAATAATTAATGGGCGTCATGGCTTAGCAAGGATTTATATATTCCTTTACATGATAAAAATATCCTTCATCTTGAACTGATATCTATAGATTTAAATAGGGGGAAAAAATAATATTTAATGAATATTTATATATAAGTTTTAATATTTTATATAAATATATTTTTTTTATTATATTAGTCTAAATATTTTTTTAATATATATTAATTTAAATTATATGCTCATATGAGATAAGATGTATTTTGCATTTGAATATTTTAATTTTTTAGTAAAATAAATATACCAAAATGTATCTGAAAAAGTATCTTAGATACCTCGACATATCTAGATACAGATGTCTTTTATAAAGGTATATCTAGATACATATACGATATACTGATTATTTTACATTAAGGGAAATCAAACCAGCTGATTTACATTGATATTGATCATATACATTTAAATAAATGAATGAATGTCAGTCAGTCTAGGCAAGGATTTAAGCTGAAGGTAATTCCAAAAATTTTGTACTACGTTTCACCCGGACTCGCTTTCGCTCTACGAATTTAACTTTCAAAATTTTGTTTTGAATAGTATTTTTAAATTTAAAAAAAACTTCAAATTTTTTTAAACTGAAATATTTGTTTATTTTTTTTTTCTGAGAATGCTCAAAATTTTATCTTAAAATTGCGAATTTCGTTTTTTTTTTGATAAATAAATCCTTCCTGAATTTTTATTTAAATTATATTTATGATTGTTTAAAAAAATTTTGACCAAAATTTGGGCAAAATTTTATATCTAAAAGAATGCCAACATCTATTTTTTCAAAAATCATTTAATTAAGCTTTTGTAATTTTGACGTAAAAAAATCTTTCAAGATGAAATTTGTTTCAAAATTTTTTTAAAGATATCTTTTTTTTTCTATCAAACTCTAAATTTGTATAGTCAACTGTTACAAGTTATAACGAATAACAACAACAACAAATTAAATTCTACATAAATTAATCAATTTAATGCAACTAACGGTCGCGATAAATATGACATCACATTTATTTCTCATAAAACGTGAAACTTATTTATTTAAATAATATTTTTAAAAATTTTTTTTTATATATTATAACCGGTCCACTTTTCCTGAACCATATTGCCCCGATAATAAGGAAAAGTTTTTAATTTTAAAATTTTATGAATTTAATTAATTTATTTTCTTTAAAAAAATGTAAAGAGAGAGAGAGAAAAAAAATTAGATTATCATAATTTTTGTTTATATTTTTTTTTAGGAATTTCGGGCCCTGGAGGTTTATTCATTTATTATATTTTATTTAAATACGCAAAATCAACTAAGTTCGATTTATAATATCATATAAAATTTTTGCGAAAATGGCGAAAAAAAATTTACGAATTTCTATTTAGGGCAAATGATGTGTGTTTACTAATACTTGTAATGTGGCGATTCTTTGTACATGTAAAAGTGTGGATACATAGGAAGTCAGCTATAAATCTAGTGATCGATAAGGCAATTAGTCGATGTGCAAACCATAAGGTGCTACAGCTGACTTCTATGTGTGTGAACTTTTAATTAATGAATTGCTAATACATCATTGATTTAGGGTAAACATTTTATATATACCATTTTACAATAACTTAAATCAAATTATACTTATTATTTTAATGTTCAAAAATAGATTTCTAACGTTTAAAGAGAGAGAGAAAATTAAATTTTGTAAGAGTTTATAAATTTTGAAAGATAAAAATATATTTTTTTTTAAAAAAATCGATATTCTAGTAAACTTTTTATAAATACAGATACAGATAATTATTTGAATGGGGAGGGTCTAATTACTTGTACATATCTTTCAGGAGGTAAGGGTAAGCTCATAGAGGACAGAAGGATATGGGATAGGAGTAAACCTAGATATTATTCTTCTCATGAATATTCTGCAGCACTAGTTGTGTTTGTGTAAAATGTGACATAATTAGCTTATCATGTGATGTCCAATTCACCCAATCTTTATTGGTTACATTTTTATAATTTTACAAGAACACACAAGCTAAAATAATTTTAAATTCATATTTAATAATTTATTTATTATTTTAATCATTTATTTTATTATTTTCATATAAATTCTTTTCCAAGTGATAGCAAATTTGACATAAAAGATCTTAAAAATTGCAAATAAAAAAAAAACTAATGCAATCATGGGTTGATTTATAATATAAAATATTTTTTTCAATAATAGGTGGCCCTCAGACTATGGTATGATAAAAAGCATAGAATAATTGATTTATGCTTTTTAGCCATTTTAACCAATTTTAACCTAGCTAAAAACTTAGTTATTAGTTAAAATGCTTAAAAAATATAAATCAACTATAAAAAAGCATAAATAAATTAAATCACATCTCAATCATCCCTACCAAATTATTTAGGCATATGCCTGAAGATTAGGATGAATTGATTTTTATAGCCATTACTTAACTAATGTATAAACTTAGAAGTTGCTATTGAGCTAAAGAACCAAAGCAAATTGTAAATTTAATTCCACTCTAACTTTATTTAGATGAGTTATGGAATTGGGTTGCACTTAAAATTAAAAAAATTTGTATGTAATATGTTTAAGTTATTAATCAAGTCATTTATTATAGTGAGAATATAATTTCAATATTGAATATATTTTTAATCTTAATTTTATATATTTTTTTTAAATGAATAAAAAAATATAGATTTCTCATTTTTATAGTTTGATATTTCAAAAGGTAAACATTTTTTTAAGAATAGTTATGATTACAATGAGTATTTAATTTAATATTATATAATTATACAAGAAAATAATTATAAATCAGAAAATAAATGTTCTATATATAGATAGTAAATTTATAATACATTATTTGTTTTTTTTATCTTAATACAAATAGTTTTAATTATTATTTATTCAAATATTATTAATCATCATAAAATTGCAATTTAAAATATGTTTGCGATAATTGAATAAAAAAATAGTTTTAAATTTTTTTTTAACAATTATTAAGTATTACCTTGATTTTATGGTATCAACAATTTTGTCATAATCTATAAAAAAAAATTTCTTCTTAGTTTTTGACGTTAAATATTCTCGGCTGGTAGATAATAGGGACATTTCTTATCAAAATTATAATAAGGGAAAAATATAATTTTTTATTTCATGCTTGTTTAATTCGTTTCAAATTTTCGCGAAAAAAAAAGTGACATCTGACATGCCTTTTAAACGTATATAACCTCGAGGTAATTTAGTATAATAATAAATAAAACATATTTGTTATATTAATCTATTGTACAATTCCATATCATAAAATATCTGCCTATTGTGGTCTAAGATCATCAACAAACTGTAAATTTGTATAATAATATTGAATGTAATAATATTTTTTTAAGACAAATAATTTTAAAGGTTCAGGGAAGATTGTAACATAATATACTTCTTGTAAAGACTAAAACTTATACAAAAGTGTCATTATCAAGTGTATCATATAACACTGGTCTTAATATGGCGAAAACTACTAAAGTGTAAAAATAAGTAAGGGATATAGTTTCTTTTTGGTGCTTTTTTAAAAAATCTTTGTGGTTGTAATTTTCTTAATTTAGTTTGCTTCTCAATGCTACAAAACAAATTAGACTTTTTTATTGTTTAAAGTTTATGAGTATTTTTCTTTTGATGTAGTACTTAAAGTTAGCCGGATTAATAAAAAATCATGATTAACTTCAGGCAATACTCGCCACTCAGCATTGATAGTCAATTCGATTCAGTTTATATAAATTTAACGATAACGCCAAAAAATTTAACACCATCTATATTCATTTTAAAAATATAAATAATTTTATATAAATCAATGAGAAAAAAATAAGAGAAATAAATTCGAAATATTCACCATTTAACTTAAAATTAGTGCTGGTATTAATTTTTACTAACAATTATTTTTCAAAATTTCATCTGATAGACAGGAACACTTGACAGTTAATACGGCATGAGCTATACTAAAAACGCGATCTACGGGGGGCAGATGAGGGGATTGGCCAAATGGTTAGATGTATGCATGGAAACAGAAGAACGAAGAAGGACTCGGGTTCAATCCTGGTAAGGAGCATAAAAACTTTTAAGTTTTTCTTCGATGACTTATGTGTAAAGGATGAATTTCGGAGCTTAGAGATGACACCCCGGTCATCGACAGGCTGGACAGCCGGGTGATAAGGATACCTGTCCAATAAACAAAATGAAGGAAACAAATGGAAATATGAATATGAAAGCTAGGGCGTTCCCTCCAAGCGACGCGCAGGGTTTAGACCTCCATCCTATGAAAAGTAAAGTAAAGGTCAATGCAAAGAAGACAAGATTAGCAAGTTTGAATATTGGGACGCTTAAAGGTAAGACGAGAGAATTGGCATCAATGTTGAATAAGAGAAAAGTTGATATAACGTGCATACAAGAGACGAAATGGAAAGGTCAGAAAACTTTAATGATTGGAGATGGGTATAAATTGTACTATAATAGAATTGTTAGCAATAGGAACGGTGTCGGCATCATCCTCGGTCCGGTCAAGATCTAACCTCCTCGGTAATAGAAGTCAACAGGATCTCTGATATACTAATGAAGATAAAACTCTGCATTGGTGAATTAATACTACACAGTCTATTCAGTATATGCTCCTCAAACGGGTTGCAAGGAAGAAGTGAAAGATGACTAGAGCTATCCTTGATGAAGCTGTAATGGAAATCCCTAAGGATGACCTAGTCATAATTGGTGGTGACTTAAATGCGCATGTGGGGAAAGCAAGAGATAGCTACAAAAGGCATCATGAAGGTTTTGGATATGAAGAAAGAAATGATGAAGAAGAGCACGTACTAATATTTGTGCAAGCCTTCGACCTTGCCTTAACCAACACCTACTATAGGAAAAAAGACAGTCATTTAATAACATACGAAAGTGGTACAAGGAAAGCACAGATTGATTACATGCTAATCTCTCGCAGAAGATTAAAAGATGTAATAGACTGCAAAATCATTTAAGGATAATATATCGCCGCACAACACAAGCTACTAGTCATGGATTTAGACATCTCAAATAAATCCACTCAAAACAAGATAAAACTGGAACCATGCATCAAATGGGGCAAATTAAAAACAATGAAAGATGCCATTGCAATCAATGCAAACATTGAAACAATAGATTCCTTACAAGTTGGCGAAAAAATGAGGACAGACCTTTCATCCAGATTAATAGACACTGCACTAGGCTTGACAAGGGGAGGCAACAAATCATACAAAGAACTATGGTGGTGGAATGAAGAGGTACAAACCATTATAAAGGAGAAAAAAGCCTTATATAAAATATGGTTCAAATCCAAAAACTCAGATGACAAGACAAATTACAAAAAATCCAAGAGAATAGCTACAAAGGCGGTGGCTAGGGCCAAAGCTATGGCATACGATGACATGTATAAAGAACTACATACCAAAGAAGGGCAAAATAAAATATACAGATTAATCAAAAATAAAGATGGGAAATTGATAATAAAGGAAAAAGAAATAATGAATATATGGAAAGAATATTTTCAGGAGCTTCTCAACTTTAATCCCCACATACTACATCTGGATGAACACTCCCCATGTCAAAATCACATGCCTCAAGCATATGAAAAACAACAAAGCTAGGGGTCCAGACGATATTCCAATAGAAAGCCTTAAAGTACTAGGAGATGATAGAATACATCTCCTCACAAATCTGTACAAAATACTTGGAAATGAAGAGGTTCCCCAAAAATGGAGGCAGGGCTATCTAGTTCCTATCTTTAAAAATAAAGGGGATCCACACAATTGTCAAAATTACAGGGGCATAAAACTAATGTCACACTGTCTAAAACTATACGAGAAAATAATAGAAAAAAGATTAAGAGACATAATCGAAATAGGAGAAACTCATTTTGGCTTTATGCCTGGAAGATCAACAACTGATGCTATCCACGCAATTAGGCAAAAAAATTCAGGGAAAAGAACAAAAAGCTATACATGGACTTTCTCGATCTAGAAAAGGCCTTCGATAGAATCCCAAGAAAACATATCTGGTGGGCGCTACGCCATAAAAAGATTCCCGAAAAATATATAAGAATAATACAGGATATGTATATGTGCCATACAACTATGGTCCGTAGCACATCAGGTACTTCAGCAGGCTTCACAATAGCGGAAGGAGTTCATTAAGGGTCGGCTCTCAGTCCACTTCTCTTCATTACAGTAATAGATGTATTAGCTCAGTCTATACCTAGACGGAATATATGGTGATATGAGGAGATGAAACAGAGAGTATTGATATAAATGAATGGCAGATATCGGCAATTGAAAGCTGCAAATATTTGGGCACCACTATACAAACAAACGGCACAATAAAAAAAGAGATAAAGACTAAAATTATCAAGGGTGGTTAAAGTGGAGATCTTTATCTGGAGTGCTATTTGACAAAAGAATCCCACACAAATTAAAGGTAAAAATTTACAGTTCCATAGTACAACTAACTGTTCTTTATAGTTCGGAAACTTGGCCAACCAAAGAATCAGATGAGAGAGTCTACAAACTATGGAGATGAGAATGATGTGGATGATTGCTGGGGTAACAAGAAAGAATAAAGTGCACAGTACAAGAATACTAAGTAGTTTAAAGGTAGTGCCCATTAAGACTAAGTTAATGGTAAACAGACTTGGTATGGGCACACAATGAGAAGGCCTATGAACTACATAGGAAATAAGGTTGAGAGTTTGGAATTGGGCAAATGTAAAAGAGGAAGGCCAAAACTTCAATGGGGCCATAAAGTTAGAGCCAATATAAAGAAGTATAAATTAGATAAAAGAGATTGTATGAATAACATAAAGTGGAGATAAATGTTGAAGGAGCTTACCTCCAGAAAAGGTGAAAGCTAAAGAGAGAAAAAAACAACTCTTTTAACGTGGGAAATTTTAAAAACATTTATTGTTTTGTCCTTTGCTCCAAAAAATTGAGATAATTATCCTCCTCCAATATCCTCTACTTCCTCGTCAAAAAAAAGGATATCTATAAATTAACAGTTCTTGCATTATCATTTCTAGGGTTTTCGATGCATTTTTTTTAAATAATGTAAGTTTATTTTTTATAGGTTTGTTCTGTGGAAGTTTGATCCATGGCTATTGAAACTTGAATATTGGATATATATAATTGAAGAACGTTCAAATCTTTAAAAAAATAAAACATATGTAATTAATTTGATAGTAATAAATTTAGTACTTTTTTATTAATCCCATTTAATAATTTGTTTATCAATAGTTGACCATAATGGATACTAATTCTTTTTTAATTTTAAATAACTAGTGTTATTGTTAGGATCAAATAACCAAAATGTATTTTTTCAAATTGAATGTTTTCCTACCTCAATGGAGCCTTCTGGCTTATTTTCCGATAGTAGGCATACTGATGGGGTCACACGTATCCCATGGTCTCAGGAAAAATTTTTAATATGGGATTTCTCTTGTCTGGACACTAACTCCCCTTCTAAATATAACAAGGATGCTCTGAACAGAGCTCAAAATTTTAAGATCAGCAAATACAGCTATGATTTCTCAAATTACATATTCATTATCATACCCATCATTTGCTTCACCTTAACTACATATGGTGATTTGGCTAAAAACTTATTTAAAGACGTTGGCCGCCTAATCAGAAAATCTGGGGAGTCTCGCGAAGGTTTTTACTTAAGGCAGAGGATCGCAATGGCCATTCCTAAGGCTAATTATGTTTGTTTTATTAATTCGATTTCTCCTGATGATTAGATGAAGGAAGTTTTGAATAATTTTTGCTGCTTTCGCTTTTTTTTGTATATTACATTATTTTATGATCTATGCCTCAATATTGTCCTTTTGTTATTATGATTTTTTTTTCGTAATCCTTTAATAATTATATATTTTTTTGAATATTTATTATTTATATTGGAATATGAAATTTATATATTAAAAAAAAAAATTATATTATATAAAATAATTAATATTACAATCAAATGTCGTTTTAAATTGGAACTTGAAGATTTTGAAACTGATATACTTTTTGAGCACATTTTACATTTGATAAGTATTGAATTAGTTCCTTCAATATAGAATGTTGCTGTAAAATATTTCATATTTGGGACATGGTAAAGATTCATCTGATTTTGAATTTTCAGATTCAGATAATGAAATAATAATATACATGCTTATGCTAATCTATTAAATTAAAATATAAACAATAATATTCAAATTAATAAAACGCGTTCCAAGTTCGTCAAAAACAAAAGGAACGCCATTCACCATTTTTTTTAAACAAACAAACTTCGTTCACGAACGCGTTCATTTACAACTACTTAAAATTAATTTATTCCTAATATAAAAAATTATATCAATTATCCACAACAAACCATTTGTCAAATCCTTTATATTGTTATATTGTGAATCCCTGCTGTCTAAAATTATATGTTAACCTGGTGAGAAAAGTTCAGCATTATTTTCTATAAAATAAATACATTTGATGGAACAAATAAATAAATAAGGAGTTTAAAGTCATAAGCTAACAAAATATTGTAGGGATGTTTATATAAGTAATTATGGAAAAGGCTAAAATTTAGATGAATATTATAGGGTGCGTGCTATAGATGTTAGAGTGGATGCGCTAATTCACGGTGGCAATAAAAAAAATTCACCCCCTTTCAGGCTTACTACTAAAAAAAATTAAACCAGACCCGCCCGATCATGAAGGACAATATTTCGTTCACGCCCGTCACGCTAAGAAAGTCACGATGCTTTTAAATTTTTCAAAACTTTATTTATATACTTTTACGCTTTATTCTATCATATTTTTTAATTCCATATTAACAACACAAAATAATTAATTTATAAATTAAGAGTTTTATTTAGAAAAAGAAGAATGCCCATGTTCTTTTATTTCATCTGTGTTCGCCTTTCCTCTTATAAGCGATAGAAAATAACTTTCCGGGTCTAAATTTTTTTTACTAAAGGAAATGAATTTTCCTACTTCTAAAATTCAAAATATTGTCATTGTTATTTGTTCTGTAAGTGATGAATCTCTAATTTCATCCTCACAAATTTTCCTGGGTAGATATTGAAGCTTCATTAGTATGGTCTGGAAATTCTCTAAATGTTTCTTAGAGTATACGGTTATTTACATGTAGGATGAATTAGAAAATTTATAAATGGTAGCTGGTATTGACTTATGCATATCGTTTAATCTTCTATCATTTCGCATTTTTAAGGTTGTATCGGAGACCTGCAGAAGTACCATTTGTACGGCCCGGTCCAGATTAAAAAATTTTCGGCCCGGCCTGGCCCGGGTTTAAAAATTTAAGGCCCGGCCATATTTAAAAAAAAATTTTTTTAGGCCCGTCTCGGAATTTTTAAAAATTATATTTGACCTGGTATATTCAAAAAATTCATTATTTCGTGTTTTATCATAATTTTCGGTGAGTATTATCATTTAATAAGCATGTATATTAGCTAACTTGAAATTTCGATACTATATGTCTAGACCTTTGCTCCTTCTATGAGCAAAATTTTCAGGCTTGTATAATATTTTTCTGAATAAAAAAACTTAGCCGTTTTAAAAAACGGCTCAAAACGAGCCGTTTAACAACACCAAATATTTTATTTTATTTTATTCTAAACAGACATTTAGTATATTACAAATGCTATGTATTTATAAAAAAAATAAAAATGATATTTTTAATAAAAATGATATTTTTAATAAAAAATATAACAATATATCATATAATAATGTATTTAATCCTTTGCATATTTATTCCATGGCAGGAAAACTATAATTTTATTATGTAATAGATACTATGAGTGTTAGCTAGTTAACTTTCACCAAAAATTATATTAATTATAACTATATATAATCATTATAACCATATCTAATTGACGAATATAATAATTCATGTTGTATAAATTTTTTAAAAAATACGGCCCGGCCCGGTCCGGGTATTTTAAAAAAAAATTTCAGGCCTGGCCCGGGTATATTTTAAAAATTTCAGGCCGGGCCTGCAGGTCTCTGATATATATCTTCCTTTCCTTCATTGTAATAAATTAACTTTAAATAAATTGGATTTTGTTGTTTGTTTAAGAATACAATTTATGTTAATTGATTGATTATCGTTAATGTACTTTCGATGAATATATAAACATATTTAAAGATTCCGATTTTATTTTATTAAGATTAGAAAATTTATATTATAATTTTAAAATTGCATATTCATAAAAAAAAAAATTTAAAAGATTAAATTTTCTGTGATTCACGGGTAATTTATGTTCAGGTCCAATCTTGCCCTACAAAATATTTGGGAAGACCCGTCACGCAGACTCACGCTGTGACCCACTGTGATTTATCGTGTCACATAGAAGTACACATAGAAGTAGTGTTGTTAAAAAGCTCTTATTTTTATAGATTTTTAAAACGGCCAGATTAAGAATTTAGCCAAAATATAATTACGTAAGCCTCTAAATTTTGCTCATAGATGACAGGAGGGTTTTATAGACCTCTATTTTCCTAATCTGGTTTATATAATATTATTTGGGCAAAAATTTTAATCGGGGAGTTTTTAAAAATAGACCCAAATCGGGCTTTTTAACATCACTATATAAGAAGAATAAAAAAAATAGAAAAGCATTGAGACAGGAGTTAATTTTTTTTCACGCCTTCTACAAAGTATCTTTCTTAGATAGTTTTCGGCTAAAAAGGAAGTTATTAACTAAAATTATAAACTCATGGATAAAAAAATATAATACTAGAAACTAGATAAAAAAAATAAATTCTTCGAGTAAACCCGACCGGTACCTGATTCGACCGAAATTAAAATTAATTAAAATAATCCGAACCAACCAACAGTTGTGTGTGTTCTTAGATTAGGTAGGGTTTTGCAGACCTCTACTAAAAACCTTATTATAATGCTTTTTATAATAATATAAATAAATTTTTATTCATTTTTTTCAAAAAAATAATTTTTATCAATAAATAAATAGTATATTTTACAGTTAAATGAAAAAAAAAACAATGCTACAAACCCAAATTTGATACAATATTGTATTGTTTTTTTTAAAAAAAATGAACTAAAGTGGTTAAAACGTTTAAAACATTCACACATAATTTTGTGTAAATTCATCTCATCCTTTATCGAAAAATTTAAACGGGTTGTTGAATATATTGCTTGTAAGCGTTGAGTTTTGAAGCTATCGACATGTCAACATATTTATCTCCTATTTTGACGATCATGCCACCTATTAAGCTTGGATCAACCTTAAAGATAAAAAAAATAAATAATGATATTATTATATATTAACAATAATCAATTTCGTATTTTATGGTGTCAATAAATATATAAATATTAGGATGCGAATAAGGAATGTATTCCTTTAATGAGCGATGAATCCCTTCTACATGATTATTCATCCTCAGGCTCCTAATATCAAATGTATTCCACATTTGATATTTAAATTTTGCATTTTAATTCATACGAGTATTTTTAAAGTAGCTTAAAAAATCATGATGTGAATTTATACTAAAAACTTCAGCAAGATCGTTAATTATATATGGCACATCCCTTTCTAACAAGAAAGAAATGGCCATTATAATTCGAAAAAATTTCTTTATATATTTTGGCTGAATAGTCGGTTAAGTTGACTTTCTTGAATGGCTCTTAACAATTTTATAGTGCGAAAAACCGCTTTAAGGGCTAAATATACGCCAATTTCAAAATCAATAGTGGCAAATCGAGGGGAAAAATAACCATAATGATAAACAATAACTTTTTAATAATGAAAACATATTTAAATAAGTATTCTTATATTTATCGGACAATAAAATGTATGCACAAATAATTAGAGTATAATTAACTAAAATAGAAATAGTATAAAAAATATTTTAGGCGAGGTATTAAAAGTACCCTTTAAAAAAAAAATTTTCAGTCAAGCAAAGGCCTGATAAATATGAGTTGTAAAAAATATATAATTTGTTATCGTCTCTGTTAAAAAATAAAAAATTTCTCCTATCAATTGTAAATTTGTGTTCTTCACGTAAAATTATGCTGTAATTATTAAGAGGAAATTGAGGTCTAGTTGACTGAACCACATGCCCCATTATTGATTTCACCGCCAAAAATCTTGGCGAAGTTATTGAATGATATAAACAGAACATATCCCATTTCCGAATGCGCATTACCTTTTGGTAAATTTTTGGTAAACTAAAATGAATGTCTATTTTTATCTCATCTTTGAGTTTATTAATGGTGACGAGAAGATGATAGTGTTCTCGTCACGGTGATCATGTGTTCGGGTCATAGTAAATGGTGCCCCTAATTTACCTCTCCCCTTACATATATTTAAGCGATATTTGTAATACAAGTCTTCATAATCAAGAACGCATAAATATCGGTTAGAATAGATAATATTCTTTTTGTATTTTGATTTAATTCTTCCCTCTAATTCGTATTTCTTTTTATGAAATAATTTGGGGCACATTTTACTACGACCCAAACACATAATCATGGTGATGATGAAGATTACTATCATCTTCTAGTCACAATTAATAAACTCAAGGATCAAATTAAAATAGATACTCATTTGAGTATAAACAAAATTTACCAGAAAGTAAGGAGAATTCGTAAATTGGATGTATTTTGTTTAAATCACCCAACGACTTTGCCAACATTTTTGGCAGTAAAATCAATAATGGGGCGTGTGGTTCAATCAACTAGACCTCCATTTCTTCTTGATAATTGAACATAAATTTACAATAGATAGGAGAAAATTTTTATTTTTTAACAGTGACGATAACAAATTATATATTTTTTACAACATTAAAGCGGTCTTTCGCACTATAATTGTTAAGGGCTGTTATTTCCACTTCTGTCAGTGCGTTCACATTCAAGAAAGTCAACTTACCCGACAATTCAGACAAAATAATGATATAAAGAAATTTTTTCGAATTAGAATGGTCATTCCTTTTTTGTTAGAAAGGGATGCGCCATATATAATTTACGATCTGAGGCAACAAGCTGAAGTTTTTAGGATAAATTAAATTAGTAATTTTTTGAACTATTTCGAAAAAAATACTTGGATAAATCATAATGCAAAGTGTTTCATCACTCATTAAAGGAATACATTCCTTATTCGTATCCTACTATTTATCTCTTTGTTTACACCATAAAAACTATAGAAAAGGATATAGACTTGAAATTAATCCAATTTGATGATGCCAGAAAGGTTACCGAAAGAAGAAAAAAAATATTGCATAATAGATGAAAAAATAAATGAAAATATAATACTTTACTGTGAAGGTTATTTTACCCCTATAGATTATTTGGATAAAATATCCAAATTTTTATATTCAAAAAAATCAAATCACAATTTTTCCATTGTATAACAAAATTGTTTTATAATGTTAATAAAGGATAACATTACTATTGATCCAAGTATCTATAGTCGGTTAAGCCAGAAGTGATATACGTCAATTTCAAAATTTATAGTTATTAAATTTTTGTTACATATACTATATCATATTGTTTCGTCACTGTTATTTTATTTATATAATAAACATGCACTAAACCTCTCATTTTTAATAGTTTTCCACACAATGGTATATGATCATATTTATATATCGCAATACAAATGTGTAATCATATTATATTCGCAATCCAACTATTATTTACAAATCTAGTGATAAAATACATATATTATTTTTATGTCATAATACATTATTATTTTTAATATTGTTTACAAAAGCTATAATAAATATTTAAAATTTTATATAGGATATATGATAAATGAATATTTTGGGATAAAAATTAAAGAATTTTAATATATAAAAGGTGCAATTATATTATCATTGAACCCTCATTAAGATATAGATATTCCTAAAATTATTAATCCTATTATATGTTCATTCTCGAATAAGTTGAATTTTAAATATGACCAGGTAAACGCGAGCCGAGCCACACAAATGATATAAACAGTTTTAAAAGTCATACTTTTAAATAGTTAGGAAAGACAACTATTATATGCATAGTTAAAAAATATAATATCAAATATATCCGCCTTGAAAAAAACAAGATTGTTTTTTCCATGAAACTAGCCGCTAAGCAAAAGGTATTAGTTCTCTAAACTATTCCTACAAAAAAAGTGGGATGTTCTGGTTAGAGTGTCTGATTGTTCTGGATATAATCACATAATATTTTATAGACAAAATGGCCAGTTTGGGCATTTTTTTTAAATTAAAAATTAATTCTTTATTCAATCAAAATATTAAAGGTCTAAAATGAAATAAAAGTTAAGTATAAAAACCAAGCGATCATTTTTAAATATAAGGTGGAAAAGTGAATGCGCTTTTTTAAAAACCATTGAGGGCAATGATGCATTATGATTTTTTAAAATTTATTATAAGTAATAATATAGGTTAAAATTTAGTAATAATTAAAATAAATAGATATACCTTAGTAGTTATCTTCAATAACTGTCCCTTTTTGATAAATCCATGCAAGGCTAATTCCACTTCTCTCATCATATCTTTATCTAATCCCTATCATAAATTATTAAAATTGGAATCAACAAAATGTTTGAAAAAGATTATAATTACCAATTTTATATTTTTAAATAATTCCAAACTTTAATTATATGGGTAGCTTTAGGTTGGAAAATGAATATCAAATTTATATTGTCTTGTACAATTTAAAAAAGATTGATAATTAAAACCCTTAACAAGAAGTACTATCCTCTATAATTTGTAATTGTGGTAATATTCAAATCTACTTTGAAACGAAATCAAGAAAAACGTAAGATATGCAAATTACTTTTAAACAAAATCAAGAAAGACGAAAGATATTCAAATCTACTTTTAAACAAAATCAAGAAAAAAGAAAGAAATCTCTATGCAAATTGAGACTATGTAAATATAGATTAAAGAAAAAGGATATGTAATGGAAACAAATATTATGCGAAAAGGTCTTCTTTTTTTTCTCTTGAATTTAGAATTTTATTTTTTTATCAGATAATTTTTAGTATTTTATACTTTTACTTTTTCTTTTTTGGTTATGTTTTCCCTTATATTAATTTATAATAAATTTTTAGTATTAGTATTTAATAAAGGATTCAAAACTATAATTTTAGTATCTAATTTTATTTCTATTTTATATTTAGGTTCCTAATCTCCCAATCCAAATTCTCCCAACTACAACAATAATAAAATAGGTAGACATCATGTATAGGATGGGATCTACAGTAAAAAATATATTATGTCCACTTTAATTCTTGGAAGGGGTGTGGGGGTAATAAAATCCATTTCATGAATTTTCTTGCATGTTAATGAATTAAAATTTAAAACCTCCATTATTTTTTACAAAATTCTAAATATTTTTGATCAATATATTTATACAATTTTACTAACGTAAAATAGATTATTAATGAGTAGTAATATGAGAAATACAAAAAATGGTCAGTTTTTTTGGATCAGTAAATTATAACTAATTAATGAAATTGAGTATAAATTATTAAGTGTCCTAAGAACTTTTCAAATTAATCATGCCGATTAATTTCATCAGATAATTAGATTTTTGATTCCATTATAGAATAAAAAATTCTGAGCAATTTCTTGGACAAGGTTAGACCAGTAATTTACTGTTTGATCAAAATCTTTAGAAAATCGCAAATTTAAAGGTAATAAAATTTATATACTTTAATAATTAAGCATTAACTTATACTATAAAAGATTCTTAAAAATTAAATTACTGGATATATTTAATAATCAAAATTAGGTAATATAAATTAATAATTATTATAAAAAATTTAGGATAAAAAAAAATATTGTTATAATATTTAAAATAGGAGATGGTCATTGTCATTTGTATGTAATGTAATATAAAATATTATCACAAACTAATAAATTTCTGATCAATTTTAGAAAATTAGACATTTAATAGCAATTATTAAATTTAAATATTAAATCTTAAAATTAGATATAATAAATAATACCAAATTAATTTTACTGGCAAATTAACTATAAATATTGCACATAATTAAAATGATGGAGAAAAATTGATTATTGAAAACCATTTAAAATTCTAGAAAATCTATTTACTAGTAATTCTATTACTAAAATTTTTTTATTTAACCCTAATATACTATCATATTGTTTATTAGAGGTTGGCAGAGCTTGTACCAAAGCTGAATGGCAGACAAGGTTGGGTTGGAATAAAATATTTCCAAACTGAGCCATGTAAATTGTGTAGAATATTTATATAGGCCAGGAGTAAAAAATGTTTTAAAGATTAAGTAAAAAAAAATAATCATGGGCCAAGCCAAACTCTTCTAAAAATGTGCCAACTTCTAATTAATATCAGTAAAATTAATATTGTCATTTATACTGAAAAAATATCTATAAAAGTACTGGTAATTTTAAATAAATAAATAACAGATCTAAAAATATATTAATTTTACATGTGCAGTAATAACTTCAGCTTTAATTTCCCCTCTATGAGATGACATTAAGGTGTCAAATGCCTTTATTATGCTGTATAATTTGTTGTACCTTCCATTTTCAATTACAACACCTAAATATAATTAAATAGTATTTTAACAAAATAATATATGGAAAAAGAATGAATATCCCTTAAATAAACACAAATTTATTGATCAATTTAAATAAAAAATTTAAGCTAGATAAAATTTGAAAATTTTTCTACTTAAAAAATTAGTCGTCATATTTGAAAAGCCCAATTTTTTCAAAAGTAGCACAATAAACTCTTTTTTAGGTTTGCGTGAGATTAAAGGGTTAAATACAATTGAAGATATTTTATTATCGGTATGGAGAGTATCACCAAATTTTTTCAATTCTTTTTCTACATTGTCTAACTTATTATCTTTATGTGCTGCAGAATATAAGGCATGGGCATATCGCCCTTCTAGCCCATAAAGTTGAAGAGAGGGCTAAATAAAGTGTTATATTTAATTTGTAATAAAAATATAAATACTTTGATAATATTTAGTTTTGCTAATGATGTTGAAAATGAACGCTATAGTAAATATTTAAATTTTGTAAAAATAGTGAATTTACCGCAAATATAAACATTGACATGTTGTTAAATGGTTAAATGTTTATAAAAGAGCGGCTGACATATAGCTAAGTAAAAAATTAAATATATAGTGATTTTAAAAAATTTAAAATATTGTGGAAATCAATTTTTTACAAATAGTCAATAGAACAATAAATATATATCCAGCCGAATAGTGTTGTTAAAAAGCGTGATTTAAGTCGATTAAATAAAACGGCCTGATTAAAATTATAACCCAAATAACATTATGTAAACCTAAAGATTTTGCTAAGAGCCTACAGAAATGCATCTATTTGTCAAATCTTGCTACAAAATATTTTTAGCTAAAATCTGAAGCTGTTTTCAAAAAAGTGACCCAGATCGAACTTTTAACAACTGCAGCCGATCCCTCTATTTATATGTTTGCGAGAAATTCCTTTTTAAATATTTTTCTGGATGAATTTAATACTAGACACATATTCATTTTACAAATAAGCTGAGAACTTTGCCGACTAATATAAATTTTATGTTACAATTAGAGATCCTAAAAACCCATTCGATCTGAAAGCCCGCCTCGTTAGACCGCAGTTTTTTTTAAAGATAATTGACTTGACCTGGTTAATCGTTCGTCTATAATTAGGAAGTAGGGCCAAACAATTTATACATTAAAAAAATATCTCTGATCTTTAGTAAAATTTTTATAGACCAGCCAGCCCTGACATTTTTATTTTAATATATTTTTTTGACTTTCAAGCTAATATTTTAGTTTTGATTAATAAATAGGTCGTAAAAAATTAATATTTTGAGAGATGCCTAATTAAAATAGAAAATAAATAAATAATTTAGTAAATCCACAAAAATCATACATGTTATTTATTTATATGATACAAATACAAATACATAATATAAATATCAGGGACAATTGATTCACAAAACAGTTGTTGAAGAAAGAAAATGATAGTCATTGAAGATCGAATAAAAACTTGAATTGATATTTGGGAAAAAATAAATATATATATATTAAAAAATAGGGTAGGTAAAATCAACAGAAAAATTAACAGCATATCTTAATTTTAATTGATCTAGCCATGTAAATTTAAAATAATTAAGAGCCAGTGGCGTCGCTAGGGGGTAGCGAAGGGGCTCGAGCCCCCTGAAAAATTTGAATAGCCGCCTGAAGCAAAAAATTTTTTTTAATGGCTCCTTAATATCCCCTTGAACTAAAAATAAATTTTACTGATTGCCCACTGAATGATTTCTTTTATAATTCCATTAAATAATATATAGATATAATTTTATTATTTATAAATAAAAGACTATTTAAATTTTTATTAAGTGAATATTATTTTAATTATTAGATTAGATTAATACATATGAATTATATTTTCAATAGGTCAGCTTGCAATCAAATTCTGTATTAAAAATATAATATCAAACTCACTAGATATTAATTTAGCTTTAACAGTTGTAGTTTAATTGACTTTTGTTATTTAAATTATTATTTAACCCTAATTAAATAAATATAATCATATATTATTTAAAAATTAACAAATTTAATATTGTAATTAGCCGAGTTCAAAATGACTAATCAACTGTATATTTATTTTAAAATTTTATTATCATACCTTAAAAATATTTTCAAGGTCCAAATAAGTATAAAAGATTTCTTTATTAAAAAGTAGGTAGACATATAATTTATAATCCTCTACTATATAGAGTTGTTTATAAAATATTAGATATAATGTCACTTTAATAGACGTATTTGACAGTTATATAATATATTATAGTTAATATTATAATAAACTTTACTAATAAATGGTTTTGATAATAAATATAATAACAAATTGCAATCAAGTATTTAATGCCATCTATTTAGTTATAAATAAATTTTAAAATTATACATTTTATTATTCATCCTGCAATAGATGTAATAAATTTGATATCTTTTTTTCTCCTTTTTTACGTGTTTTTAGGAAAACTATTTTTTTCTTTTTCGAAAAACAGTCTTGAGTTAAATTTTTAATACAAGTATATTTTTGATATTATTACAAACTTCTATTATTTTAAGATATAATATACCAAGGTGGTGTGACAATATATAAAATCTTAATTGTTTCATCATATCATTCATGTCCTTATTTTATAGTTAGAAAATGTTTCATTTCTAAAGCATTGTTGTGTAAATAACTCCAGGCTTCAATATATTTGTATAATTAATTCTTCCAAAGATTTTTAGTATTTTTTTTTATTAATTTATCCAACATAATAAATTCTGATATTAGTTTACATCGTGAGTGCCATGGCTATTACGCAAATTAACCAGCATCTATTATTTATGTTGCTATGTAATTTAAGATTATTACTATAACGGCTGAGAGCATATAATTGCATATTTTAGATAAACAATAATGGTCAACCAACTGTGTAGTCGTTTATACATTTATAATGAAAGATAATCTTTTAGAAATTTAATATCTCACAATAATTTTCTCGATTACTTATCTAGATTCCATAATGTCATCTAAGAGAAAGCTCTAACCACCATATAGTTTTATGGATTGGCCTTTTATACTCTCTCCTACAAAAATTGTTGATTTGGTTTAATCCTATAAATTTTTCCTTTAATCCATTCTCATTGTCTAAAATGGTTACAGAGAATTATACTAGTTTGATAACCTTTTGTCAATGTAAGTTGCTAAGAATTATATTATTGCATTATGTGATTTTTTATATGCCAGTTAATTTGTATGTCTAATAAATGACAAAATATGAAAATTAGAATAATTGTTCAGAGTTAACAAATTTTAAAAAAGTATAATATATTACGAAGGCCTGCAAATTAAAGGGTATGGGGGCAAAGCCCCCCATAAAATTTTTTTTAGTTGAGCCCCTTGAGATTGTGAAGGCTAGCGACGCCCCTGTTAAGAGCTGGTTAGAAATTTAATGAGCTGTGCCAGGCAACTTCTCCAAAAGTTCTTAAAGGTTTCAGACTGACAAAACTGGGCTTTGCAGATCAATATAATGAATGTGAACCTGAATGGTAGTGCTATAATAATAATTGCTTTATCTGTATTGATCTGTTCTACTCAGAGTTGTACAAAAGATCTTCTTTGAAGATTTTTGAGCGAGATCTCGCTCAAAAATTTGAGCAAGATCTTTGAAGATCGTAAAATTTGAAGATCTTTTACTTTTAAAAAATTTTGAGCAACGATCTTCAAAGATCGAGATCTTTTGAAGATCTTTTATTTTAAAAAATTTTTGAGCAGCGATCTTCAAAGATCTAGATCTTTGAAGATCTTTTATTTAAAAATATTTTAGATGAAACGATCTTCAAAGATCTTCATATTTTATAATGTTTTATTTTTTTGATATTATTTTTTGAACTGCATGTTAAATTAAAATAAAAATTTAATAAAGATGTACCGACAATTTTCATAATCGTTATTTTTTAACTTTTTTCGACATATATGGGTAAAAAAAAATTTATATAAAAAAAAATTTATATTATAATTTCAATGAAGATGTAATGTATTAAAAAGTGGAAATTGTAATAATCGTTATTTTTAACTTATTTGATTTATTATATCCTAAATTAAATAGGTTATAATTATTAATATTAAGATGTAAAAATAAAATTTCAATGAAGATGTACCATAGAAAAGTGACAATTGTTATAATCGTTATTTTTGAAAATTTTTTTATAGCATAGATATTGTTAACATGTTAAATTAAAATTTCAGTGAAGATGAACCACAGGAAAGTGACAATTATCATAATCGTTATTATTGAACTTTTTTAAATTTTTTTAAAGCAAATGGGTAAAAATAGATATTGTTAATATGTTTTAAATTAAAATTTCTGTGAAGATGTACTACAGGAAAGTGACAATTGTCATAATCGTTATTTTTGAACTTTTTTGAAATTTTTTAAAGCAAGGTAAAAATAGATATTGTTAACATGTTAAATTAAAATTTCAGTGAAGATGTACTACAGGAAAGTGACAATTGTCATAATCGTTATTTTTGAACTTTTTTGAATTTTTTTTAAGCATTTGGATAAAAATAGATATTGTTAACATGTTAAATTAAAATTTCAGTGAAGATATACTACAGGGAAGTGACAATTGTCATAATCGTTATTTTTGAACTTTTTTGAATTTTTTTAAAGCAAATGGATAAAAGAAGATATTGTTAACATGTTAAATTAAAATTTCAGTGAAGATGTACTACAGGAAAGTGACAATTGTCATAATCCTTATTTTTGAACTTTTTTAATTTTTTTTAAAGCAAATGGGTAAAATAGATATTGTTAACATGTTAAATTAAAATTTCAGTGAAGATGTACTACAGGAAAGTGACAATTGTCATAATCGTTATTTTTGAACCTTTTTAAATTTTTTAAAGCAAATGGGTAAATGAAGATATTGTTAACAATATAAATTAAAATTTCAGTGAAGATGTACTACAGGAAAGTGACAATTATCATAATCGTTATTATTGAAATTTTTTTAAAGCAAATGAGTAAAAATAGATATTATTAATATGTTAAATTAAAATTTCAGTGAAGATGTACTACAGGAAAGTGACAATTATCATAATCGTTATTATTGAAATTTTTTTAAAGCAAATGAGTAAAAATAGATATTATTAATATGTTAAATTAAAATTTCAGTGAAGATGAACCACAGGAAAGTGACAATTATCATAATCGTTATTATTGAACTTTTTTAAATTTTTTTAAAGCAAATGGGTAAAAATAGATATTGTTAATATGTTTTAAATTAAAATTTCAGTGAAGATGTACTACAGGAAAGTGACAATTGTCATAATCGTTATTTTTGAACTTTTTTGAAATTTTTTAAAGCAAATAGGTAAAAATAGATATTGTTAACATGTTAAATTAAAATTTCAGTGAAGATGTACTACAGGAAAGTGACAATTGTCATAATCGTTATTTTTGAACTTTTTTGAATTTTTTTAAAGCATTTGGATAAAAATAGATATTGTTAACATGTTAAATTAAAATTTCAGTGAAGATATACTACAGGGAAGTGACAATTGTCATAATCGTTATTTTTGAACTTTTT